CTTAGGTGACTCTCGCGCACCGATGTGATGTGATTTAAAAGTCACGAGGTAACCTCACGGCAAGCTGTCTGTATATAAGTAAAGAAGGCACCGTGCTAGACCAGTGCTTAGGTGACTCTCGTGCCTCGACGTGATGTAAATTAAAAGTCATGAGTCATGACCTCACGGCAAGCTGGCTACCAGATGGCTCTATAAAAGAAAAGCAGCCACTATGCATGGCCAGTGCTTAGGTGACTAGCGCCTCGCTGTAATGGATTTAAAAGTCACGAGGTAACCGAGGCAAGTAGGCTCTATATAAGAAGGCACCGTACAGTGGACTGGTCAGTCCTTAGGTGACGAATTAAAAGTCATGAGGTGGCCTCAGGGCAAGCTGACTCTCGCGCCTCGATGTGATGTAATTTAAAAGTCAGGAGGGAACCTCACAGAAGAAGGTTCACGCACTTGGGATACATGCAGTCAAAGGAAAATCATATTCGAACCATCAAACCCTCAATCATTCCAGAGTTTATTAGAGCTTTGGGGCTAGATAAAAAGTATATGAAAAGAATTAGAGGTCAAAATAGACCAAAGGTCGCAGTACACATCCTCTATCCTTTATCTATCTATCTATCGATACAGTATGACCACAGTATTTATGCATCATTAGTATACAACGCCAAACAACATTGCAAACGATGCTTTGTATAATTTGACGTTATAAAACATTTCTACTTTTTATAACAGTTTTATTAGAAGCACAAACATAATTCAAATGTATATGTAAGTATGTATGTACATATATTATATTCCTGCCAACATAAGTACATTATTTGGCAAAATCTCTGGATTTGATTCAAATTTAGTATATATTAACAAATACAATATACAATTAGGCTATATCGCATAAAATCATTATTTATCTCAGTAGTATAAAATCTTAATGCACATTTCAACATTAACGCAAGATTTAACCCAAGAGACGATATCGATCCAAAAATTAACTCATACTTTTTCATTACAACTTTCGACAATTTACCATCGTTAATATTCCATCACAAATGGTGACCAGTGTCAAATAACGATAGTTGGCCGTATCAATCAGAACTTGTACGAGATTGGGATCAAAGAAATAAATGAAGAACTTTGTAAACTGTACATTATTGCAGCTGTACAGTTTTTCTACACTATTTTAATTAGCCAACCCCTAATAGTTTGTGCAACATTTAGCAACAAGGAAAATTTTAAATAGATAGATTTATATTAAACCCAAAGCAAGTTGTAAACTATTCAAGAAATAAATAAATAAAATCACTGCTTATGTGTTATGTCAATTTCCAAAATATTTATTTGCTCTACTTTCTTGGTTGATTCCGAGCCATATCCTTAGGAAAAGTTCGAACAGGTGGTGTGCGGATACGACGAGCTTCTTTGGATCGATTCCTTACAACCTTTGAATGGATAGCACATGATACGCAATAATGCAGCTTTGCGTACAGCTTTGGCAAAATATATGCTAAGGAATAAATGGGCATTAAAAACCAACTGACATTAATTAAATCAACTTACTTTCCCAGATTGAAGCTTCAGAAATGTCTCTCACAGCAGCGGCTTCTACAATATTACGAATGACAAACTTCTTAATGGCTTTATCCTTTGGAACACATCGTGCGCAATTGGTACAGCGTACCGGCTTCACGTGCCCGCGATTATGTTTGCAACGACCTCCGTTACGGCGTTTCTTTGTCTGATCAATAAATAAAAAATTATACTGTCTTGAGTAAAGCATAGAAAAATTTTCAAGTAATGTTTTTAAAACATTGTTTTATTTCAAGTTACGAAACAGTGACGTAAATTTGAAGACACTAAACAATATTGTGAATTACGTTCTTAATAATACTTTTCCAAGAACGATATAATAGAGAAATTTGTTACGCACCATTTTCTTAGCACTTGTCTTCGTTCAACAGGAAGCAGATAAAGGAAAGACACAGACGCTGTTAACTTGGCTGTTGTTCAATTTTCGACTCAACAAGCACATGCATACAAAATACTGCATACTTCTCCGTTTATAGCAATAATGCTTAAATATTTTACAGAATACAATTTTTTTTTATTTTTTAATAAATCTTTAAATATATCTACGCTTTTCTTCATCCGATCAATCAACCATAGCAAATATTATAATGTTTAAATATTCATTAAGTTAAATCGAAACCAAAATACATAAAATAAACACAGTTCTCCTGTAACAGAGTTGACCGGATCTTATACGGATAACTGTTGTAGCAAGTAATAATTCCAATTATACACAACTACATTCATCTCTACCCTAAATATAATATTAAATTATTTACTTATTAATTTATAAATTTTTGGATGAACGTGAACAACTTTTGTTAGTTTGCACAATTCATTAACATTCATATACCTTCTAACTAAAAGCTTCTATTTGGTTTGTTCTTTTAAATGCCATTTCTTATAAAATAAATATAAATTGTAAAGTATGAAGTACAAAAGAAAACAGAATTTTTGAAGTTGAGTACAAACCATTTCAAAACTTTCAGACCAGTTGATAAGTTCGAGAGCAAGTGAGGGGAAATAATGTGAACATAGCATAATGGATTTACACAAAGGTTATGATTATACTTGCTTGTCTCTAGGGAATATGAATCGACTTCATGTTGAATATGAAATGATTTCCCATTCTTAATATCACTGTGTTTAATATATAACAGCAGGAGGAAAAACCATATGCAATGCCTAATCATTAGAATAAAATATAAAATTGAATAAAGTGAGTGATGTGTATCTGTATTTTGCTCTGAGTAAGAGTGTTGTTTCTAATTACAGTTTATATCGCTTCTTTTAATAGCTAACGACGGAAGAACTAACAGCATCCAAAATTTTCAATGGCATTGGCCTTTTATCCGCACGTTTTGAATTGCATAAAACGGCGACCTTTGCAAAGAATAAGTTACCATCAATGCACACGGCTGTTATATACATTGAACAACAATTCCTATAAAAGATGGTGTCAAATTTATGAATTGAGCACCTATATTTTGGGTTCTAATTACCAAAATAAACGACAAATCCATAATAAAAATGTAGTACATACAAAAAACACAAACCAACCTAGATTGGAGGATCTAGATCGTGCTTTCAGAGTTCTGCAAGAAACGTTGCCTAAATTATTTATAGAACCACTAGATTATTCGATTTACAGTCCTAACTTGGTATTTGAAAATAATATTACTGGTAAACAAACAATTGGATTGTACCATTATGTGAAACAAATCGCACTTTTGCGCACAGTAGGGCATTTAAAATATGCTTACGTCAAGTTCGAAGTGCTTAAAATTACGAAGCATACTGAAGATTATACTGTGAAAATTAGGTGGAGAGTTCGTGGTATATCTGGACTAAAAGTTATGCTTTCATTTTGGAAATATAAACTGTGGCAAATGAAAGAAGTTTTTGACGAGCAGGAGTCATGGTATGATGGATTTTCAGTTTGTTATTTGGGACACGATGGACTTATACATAAACATGTTGTGGATAGAGTAATGCCAGATGAAAATAAAGAAATAGTTGAACCGGAATCCGGGCAAAGCTTGCCGACGGGGTCCGTGGCAGTTACATCGCCAAAGTTATAAAAGTAGCTGGCTACAAAGTTTCGATAAAGATTCTTCTATTTATTTAAAGCTGTTATCAATTGAAGAAAGTAAATAAACACATCCCCTTTTGTGTAATTTTCTTCCTATGTATGTTCTTTTGTATTATTTTTGAATTTTTAGGCTTATAGAAATTTCAGAACAATGATTTCATTTCATATACAAATCTTTTGTAAAGTGAATTCTTGAAATGTTAAATTTGTTTGCATAATGTATTTGAATGGAAGTTTTATATACATACAATAATTGACATATAATTAAGCCAATTTTCATTGAGTTACTGACAGAAATCATATGCACATAGGTTTGATAAATACGGTCGTGATTAACTTTATACTTATCCGTGCTTTATACTCCAAACAAATTTTCAAAACAGTGATGGTATCTCAGAAAATCGATTATTTTCTCTCCATTCATTTTACAACGCCTCTCCATAGGCAATAAATGTTATGTTAACGCACTGAAAGCCAATTATCAGTTAAGTCATCGATTAATTTCCCAACAGCGCTACCAGAACTTCTGTTAAAATTTTAACGAGTTTCTTAAGACAGAATTGACAAATCTAACTAAACTTCTTCTGTACGAGAAGCCATTGGACATTGCATATTACCTACAGTTATCCCAATACTTTACCAGGTAACTAATGTAGGAAACAAACGTTGGTTATCCGGACGTTACACAATCAAAAATTTGTTTATTTTTTGCCGATTACTACCGATAGTTAAAGTGCACTTGACCTTTATAAATAGGTCAGTCTCAGCCACCTTGTGTAGCCGGTTCAGATGCCTGTGACCGTGTGCGTGAATTAGATTGTAGTGACTGTTTGGCTGCATATATAGCAGTTAATGAACCTATAAATTGTCCAAATTTATTCACGCGCTATTCAACTATAGGAAAAAGGTCACAGCAGCCCTAATGTTTATATACTTATAAAGCAGTATAGATTTATATATTTCTTGGCAACTCTATTATTTTCCAGTGTATTCGGGTTGCATTATGTGCGTCATTTCATAAATTTTCCACACCGTCAAATTGTTGTGATTTCAGCAAATTTATTCGTGAACCGTGGTTAAGTGAATTGTACTTACACAAGAAATGATTGCATGAACGTAAATGGAAAAGAAAACAAAAAACTTAGTATGAGTTTTAAAACTGAAAACTCGGAATCCGTCGGTAAATATACTTGTGGAAGAATTCAGAATATTTTTTTGTTGAGCATATTTAGGCAATTGCTGTGCTATATATGGTCTATGTATAATACGGGGAAAAAACAATGTATTGCAATTTTCCGGTTGCAGTGTTTTAACTTTTGTACTTATGAAAGTGATTATTTAAGTATATATGTAGACATTTACATATTCAATTAACCGTGCAATGGTTGTTCATCTGAAAAGATATGCATGCAAATATGTTTGCGATTTGGGGGATACAGTTTTAAATAATGAAGTATTGTTGTAATTTACATGTTAGCATACGACAATATCTGTTAAACTATGCAAATATGTATATTCCTAGATCTATTTTAAGTTATGCGGGTTGGTGATGACGTTTAATAGGTAATATTATTGTACCAAGTATTATCAAAGTTAAGTCAATATAACTATAACTTAATTCTTTAAGGCAACTATATACTATAAAAACATTTATATTTATTATTGGATTTAATATTTGAATGTATCTAATTTTTAAAAAGTACACAGCGGTAATAGATTTTCTAAGCGTTTGAAAATATTAGAATCGTTAATATTTCAAAAAGGAGTAACCAATGGAATGCTGACAGCTAAAACTTACTTACAAGAAAAAACCGATATACTTTCGAATATTGATGGTAAAGCTGTGTCAATTGAAACACTGTTGGACACTCTACTTGTTTTGTACGATGAATGCTGCAATTCATCATTGAGACGAGAGAAGACGCTGGCTGATTTTATAAAGTTAGGTAAGTGAAGTTGTATATATTTATGTTGGCTTATACCCGATCAAATCACCTTCTATATATATATTGTTATCTTGATATAGGAAGCACACATTTCTACTTTTTACAAAATCAATTTTTTTTTTGAACTTGTTTTAATAAACAAAATTCATGTTGGAAAACCTTTTAACCTTGATATTTTTAAATTAGAACTTTTTTGCTGATACTGAGATAAAAATTTATTTATATGCATTGTATATGTTACATATGGATATATTATATTTATCAAAAATTATTACAAATTGCAAGCACTAATAAACAATTTGTTTGTTGTAGTAAAACCAGTGGCTACATTGTTTAAACAACTACGTTTATCTAGAGATGATTTTGAAACGATTAAAATTATTGGGCGTGGCGCCTTTGGGGAAGTGTGTGTTGTTCGAATGCTTGCAACGCACCAGATATTCGCAATGAAAACATTAAACAAATGGGAAATGCTTAAACGTGCGGAAACAGCGTGTTTCCGAGAAGAACGCGATGTTTTGGTGTACGGAGATAGACAATGGATAACAAATTTGCATTATGCTTTTCAGGATGATAGCAATTTGGTAATTATGAATCTAAAGATATTGAATTGTGTAATATTGTAAGTGTAGACGGTAATGGTTTGTTTTTGTTTTGTATATAAATTGAATAGTATCTTGTAATGGATTATTATTGTGGTGGAGACTTGTTAACCCTATTAAGCAAATTTGAAGATCGTTTGCCTGAGGATATGGCGAAATTTTATATTGCTGAGACAATTTTGGCAATAGATAGCATACATAAACTCCAATATGTACACCGTGACATAAAGCCGGATAATTTGGTGCTTGACATGAAAGGACACATACGGTTAGCTGATTTCGGATCTTGCTTACGGATTGGTATAGATGGAATGGTCCAATCAAATGTCGCCGTAGGTACCCCGGATTACATTTCTCCTGAAATACTTCGAGCAATGGAAGATGGTCAGGGTAGATATGGAGCTGAATGTGATTGGTGGTCGCTTGGAGTTTGTATGTATGAAATGTTGTATGGCGAAACACCTTTTTATGCTGAGAGTCTTGTTGAAACATATGGAAAGATAATGAACCATCAAAATTGCTTCGACTTTCCTGCTCAGGAGACTCTTGATTATGTTATATCAGAAGAAGCAAAAGATTTAATGCGGAAGCTCATTTGTGCACCTGAAAATCGTTTAGGACAAAATGGTACAGATGATTTTAAAAACCACCCTTGGTTTGCAGGATTAGATTGGGATAACCTTAGATATAGTCAAGCCCCCTACATACCTGAAGTGTCAAGTCCAACTGATACCTCCAATTTTGATGTTGATGATACAGATATGCATCTCTCCGACACTGTGCCACCAGCAGCCAATATTGCTTTTTCTGGTCTTCATTTACCATTCATTGGATTTACTTTTACTCAATGTAGCTCTTTATCTGATTTGGGAAAGGTTGAAATTAATTGCAGCCATGCAATTGTCGACATAGACAAATCTATGGATCCTGAAATAATGGAGGAAAAATGTAATCTCATTGAAGAAATAAATTGTTTAAAACGGAAAAATTATGAGCTTGAAAACAAATTGAAAAACTTAGAAATTATTGAAAAGGCAACACCCGAAGATTGCAACAACCCCGCTTATATAGCACGGTTGAAAGAATTGGAACAAGAATTGAACGAAGTGAAACGGGAAAAATGTCTCACATCAAAAGAGTATGGTGAAGCACTGGATAGAATAAAAACTCAAGAATCTGAATTAAAAGATGCCATATGCCAACGAAAATTGGCAATGATGGAATACGCAGAAGTTACCGATAAATTATCCGAATTACGTTCTCAAAAACAAAAATTATCACGGCAGGTGAGTTTACATTTTGTTTTTAATGTGATTTGTCTAATCGTTGCACGAAAAATATTTTTTAGGTTCGTGATAAAGAGGAAGAGTTGGAATCAGTTATGAAAAAAATAGACAACTTGCGAAATGATCTTCGAAAGGCAGATAAAAACCGACGGGAACTTGAGCTACGAGTAGAAGATGCCATAACTGACATGGCAAAAGAAAAAAAACAAAGAGAACGTTCTGAAGAATATTGTCGCCAGCTGCAGTCAGAATTACGAAGCAAAAGTAATACAGATATGAACTCCACTTTTCCAGCGAATGAGCCGTTGCGATACGAAATCGAAAGAATTGAGGTACAATATTCGGAAAAACTGAATCAGCAACAAACCCGCTTTAACATTGAGCTATCTGAACTGCGAGAGCAGCTAATGGAATCCGAGAAGAATCGGGACTTCCTAATAATAGAACTTCAAAAAACTCGTGAAAAATGCGACTTAAGTAGATTAGAATCTCAAAATGACACTGTAGATACATTAAGTGAGCAGAAAAAAATGTATGAGCAAGAGAAGAGTATATGGGCAGAAGAAAAAAGAAGATTATTATCAGAAATGGAAAATCTCAAAGAATCCATAAGACAACTACAAACAAAGCAAATAGAAGACCAAAATAATTGTGAAGAATTAAGGTACTTCTTATGTAGGCACGTTTATGTTTACTAATTATCTTCATATTCAGTATACAGTTGGACATTACATTGACTTTTTTATTTTGAAATCGATAGGACAAAGCGGCAAGCTATAATACAATGGGAACGACAAATGTCCGAAATAATACAGTGGGTATCTGACGAAAAGGATGCTCGAAGTTACTTACAAGCCTTAGCAACAAAAATGACTGAGGAGGTTGAATATCTAAAACACTCAGGTAAACAATTCTAAATTAAAAATATAATTTTAATTTATTAAAATATTTCCTCTTCTTAAGATGTAACGCCACAAATTCAAAGTTCATTTGTGGAATACATTGTTTTATATATGTTAAAATTACTACTGAATATGCAACATCGGTGACTTTATTTTTATCCACCGAATATCTCATAATTTTTGGTAAAATCGATTGGTCATTCACTGTATGTTTTAAGAAAAAATTACATATAGTATTTGTGGAATATTTAATTCTCCTATTGTTCTAGAGTATTGTGTATTGAATAAATTACTCGTACTCTAGGTAATGTATATCCTCCTGCCTTATATATGTTGATATAAAATATTAAATTAGTCGAATTCTATATTATTCGCAACAATTATTTGTATATTTAACTGTTTCTATCATTATCCACCTCGGCTTTCATAAATTAAATTCTGCAATAAAATCTTCTATTCATGTATAGGTTCATTTCAGCAAAACTATGAAACGAAAAATTGGCGAAATAGACGTTCTCAAAAGCTTGATAAGATGGAGTTATTGAATTTACAAAGTTCACTTCAGGCCGAGATCCAGGCAAAAACGCTTATTTCGGAAGAACTTAGTAGGACACGAGCAGAATTAATTGCAACTCAGAAGTATGTAAACAATTTATGAAAAGTTGAGGACAATTCCTTCTAATAAACATTTTTTTCGAATGTTTGAGTAGCATAAAAATGCGATGTAATAAGTTATAACCGAAACTTAATTGTATTTTATAACTTCTAACTTATTTATGCTTAATGTTATTGACATAACAATAGATACTATTGTTTCTCAGTATCTATTTTCATATACTAATGTTTTAAATATTTATAATAATTATCGTCTACATTTTTTTACTCTTAGGGATCTACGAGAAAGTCGTAATCGTTGTGATTCTGCTTTATATGAGCTTCATCATAAGGAAAATGAAATTCGCGATATTCAAAAAACATTAGAAACTTCGGAAGGATGTAAGTACGCTTTTATTTTTGCTATATATCAAAATATTTAATATTTAAATAATTGAAATATAATGTGGGTTAAGCCCAGTCAAGTGCTGCTATTAGCTGTTTACTTTTTTATCGAAAGTCCACGGAATGTCTCAAAATTAGTTCACTCCTGTTTTAAAATGACAACGTACAACATAAAGTTTGTACAAAAATTTTTGTATCAATCTTATTGTACAATCGATTATAATCGATGTTTGAAATATTCGAATATATGTAGAACTAATAAATTTTAGTAACACTGGAAAAAAGTGGGGTATAAAAATTATCGTATAGAAAGTTTTCTTAGCTGACAGTTATTAATTAATTTGCCTGAAAAACTATCTAAGATATTATTTACATAAATATATATTAAGCTTAGTTAATTTTTCTTTATTGAGTCATATTGACAGAAATATTTATTCACTATTTATTTTTAATTCATAATTTGTAGATAAATTGTATATACAAGATATGCTAACTAAGTTATTGGATGATAGTATGAAGTTATGCCCAGTACGGGGGCGAAGAAGTGGAAAAAGCATGACAACAGAATTCTGCAGAAACACGCCAATAAATATTCATCAGGGCAAACTCACGGAGCTTGCCGAACCTCTTAATGAGTTAATTACTAATTTGAAAAAAGCAAGTGAAAGCATAGATACCAACTCAATGACAGGGGCAACTAATATAATAGATGTGTTAAGATTTTCATTGCAAGTACAACAAGCCCAACAAGAACCAATGCACGAAAAATCGCAATATATTTTTGAAAATCTTCATAGACTTGCAAAAAAAGTTGTACACCGCTGTAGCATATCTTTATGGGTTGGAGTTACATCGTGTTTTGTAGGCATATTTTTGTTTTTGTTACGCGATTATAACTTTTCAAATTTTTTTACAGTTAAAAAATTTTAGGAGCGGATCTTCAGTTAATAAAAGAAAAAAAAAATTGGGGGTTTTAAAACGAAAAACTTAAAAACTAAGCTTTCTTTCAATGACTTTCAACGTATTTCTCAAATTTTATTGTTGAATGTTGTTAATCAGTTTTAATAAACAATTAAAATAAAGAGAAAACAATAAATAATAAAATTAAATAATACATGAAATATATATTATGGAAATGAAGTGTTTGCAGTTATGTAATAAGAATCGTTTTTTATCTATTAACTAATTGCGTGTTTTTAGCATGAAATATTTTTTTAATTATCAGAAATCCAACATACATACATACAAATGTGCATTCCATATGAGTTTGTTTACTAAAACTAACAAAACAATTAGTGTTAATATCAATAACTATTTAGTATAACTCAAAATATAAATAGAGCAGAGCTTATAAAGTGATACGTGCTATTATTTCAAGAATAAAAACTGTGTATTGGTGTTGTTAATGTAAAATTTCAGTATATATTAGTAATGACTTATTTGAGTTTACAGCTGGTATACCAGAAATTTAATTTGAATTTTTTCATTAAATAAGGGTTTGAAATAATTATTCATTGGAAGTGCTTTTATGAAACCGTATAAGCACGTGACGTGTATATGTCGAAAATTAAGCAGATTGCAGAAATCGTGAAAAGTTATACATACATATGTATGTACTTTTATACGTATCATACGCATATGTAATATCATAATATTCGTATTTATATAAAAATCTTAATGTAGACATTAAAACTCGTTAAACTTTACACTTTTGCATTAAATTGCATACATATTATGTATTTTGCTTATTTTTCATGGCGTTATTTTATGTTTCATGCTAATAATCCACATTTTTCTCATTTCATGTCGCTTTTTTGATCCTACAACGATGCGTGTTAAACCGTACGATCCAATTGCCTGGTTTTCTGCCTAATAACATAACTAATAAATACATTGATTGCATAATTGTATTTATGTATGTAAATTTACGCTTTTCCTAATCTCCGTTTTTATCAACGATTATATGATATATAAATGATAATTTTAAACAGTTCTGGAAAGACCTTCTTCGCAAACGTCTTGTAACTATTTCTTTAAGGAATCTGCAGGAAATATTGAAATTCCGGATATTGATGCTGATAGCAATATTTCCAGAGATGTTATGGTATGTTTGCTAATGTCCATGAATTTTAGTGATAACTTTAAATTTCTTGTTGTATTGCAGGGTAGTTCATTTAATAATAATTTGTCACTCGGAAATTTAAAACAAACTCAAAACTCTTCTGCAACTTCAAGTAGTTCGTATACTATTCGTTATCCGCAAAACTCGAAGCTGGACTCACTATATCCATATTATATGGTAGAAAAAAAACATTTTTTAACAACAGACTACAAAAATGAACAAGATAATAGCGATTTGGATGATATTCACGGCCATCATAGTAAGTCAAGCTCTAAAAGCAGCATTAGTGTTAAACCTCTTGAATTGCATCCAACGAATGTAGCAGCCACCAAAGTGCACCAGTTTTTGGTTAGAACTTTCAGCAGCCCAACAAAATGTAACCACTGCACTTCGCTGATGGTTGGCCTAACCAGACAGGGTGTTGTATGTGAGTTTTGTGGTTTTGCCTGTCACACTGTTTGTTGTCAGAAAGTTCCTACAATATGTCCTGTGCCAATTGATCAAACGAAGCGGCCGTTGGGCATTGACCCAACTCGAGGGATTGGTACAGCTTATGAGGGATATGTAAAAGTGCCAAAGATGGGTATTATAAAAAGGGGTTGGGTGCGTCAATTTGTAGTCGTATGTGATTTCAAGTTATTCTTGTACGATATATCAGCGGAAAGAAGTGCTTTGCCCAGTGTGAATGTTTCACAAGTTCTAGACATGAGAGATCCGGAATTTGCTGTTGCCAGTGTTCGAGAGAGTGACGTCATACATGCTACAAAGAAAGATGTGCCATGCATATTTAGGGTAAGTGTTTTCAGCGATATGAATAAGCTTCACATGTTATTTAAAAAGTGTGTATTCATTTCAATATATTTATGGAATTTTAGATTAAGACTTCCTTGATTGAAGGAGGGTCCACGTGTAATACCTTAATGTTGGCAGACAATGAAACAGAGAAGCGAAAATGGGTAGTTGCCTTAGGTGAATTGCATCGCATACTAAAACGCAATAATCTCCCGAATACAGCTATATTTAAAGTACACGAAATACTAGACAGTTCTCTGACAATAGTGAGGAGTGCATTAAGCTCTGTTATAGTTTATCCTGATCAGTTTTTACTGGGAACAGAGGATGGCTTATATTGTATTAATCTAGAAGAATATGGTAAGTAAACCATGTATTGAAATTAATATTACTTTCGAATTTTTAAAGATATAGCATGTGGTTATTTGTGACAGTTCTAGAATAATATTACAAAACTTCCCTTAAAAAAATGACTGTTTTCTATGGAATGAAATTGGAAACTACATATATGACCCATTTAAATAAGTTTAAATACCTGCGTTGTAAAATAAAACAATGCAAGAATAAAACTAAACTCGTTTAAAAAAGTTTCAAGACAGTTACATGCGAAATATATTTGGTTGTTGTAAATTAAGACATTTTACCTTAAATAATAAATAATAATTAACAAATATAAATAAGGCTTATACATATAGTTGTCATTTTATTTTATTTAAATTTTCATAGAAATAAATCGTATTGGTGAAAGTAAAAAGATTATTCAAATGTGGTACGTAGAAGAAGAGCACATTCTAGTCATTTTGTGCGGTAAACAAAGGCATATACGCTTGCTTCCCATAAGAGCTTTGGAAGTGAGCGACGTGGAGTGGATAAAAGTTTCAGACTCTAAAAATTGTATTGCGGCATGCACCGGCATCATTCGTCGATCCCCGGTCAATATTTATGCGTTTGTCGTAGCATTGAAGCGTCCAACCAATCAAACACAAGTGGTGGTGTATGAGATAAATCGAAACCATTTAAGGCATCAAAAAATGTGTGAATTCACCGTGGCGTATCCAGTCCAGAGCCTTCAAATTTTGTCAGACATAAGGCTTGTTATCGGTCATCAAAGCGGCTTCACTGCCTATTATTTACAGGGCGAAGCGACGACTACTTGTAAGTTGACATCATAATTTTTTTAGTTTTAGCTAATATAAATATTCAATTCATAGCATTAATACATCCGGAAAATCAATTGTGTGCCTTTTTAAACTATTCTGGCGTGGATGCCGTTCGTGTAATTGAAATACAGTGTCCTGGAGGAATATTCGGAGAGTATTTATTAGTATTTCAAACATTAGCTATTTACGTGGATCTTCAAGGCAGAAAATCCAGGGATCGAGAAATTACATATCCAGCTAATCCAACTCACATAAGTAAATTAATATTATATTTCGTTATGTTTATCACATACTTTCCCTTCTCTCATACAAATCAGGATTATTGGCATAAAAAAAGTCCTATAGTTTACATATGTTTTTCATTATTATTTTCAGCGTATTTGGATGGACATTTGCTAGTATTTTCGGAAACGCATGTGGATATTTTCAACACCCAAACCGCAGATTGGGTGCAGTCAATTGGACTAAAACGAGCGCAACCGTTAGGACCACAAACAAATTTCGTTTTGACTTATGTTAACGATGCGCCTATTGTTGTATATTTAGCCAACATACACACAAGTATGTTGTTATTATTGTGTTATTAAAAATTTTATAAGTATTTTAATTATTTTTATTTATAGAAGAACTTATTCACATTGGATCTGCAGAAAAATCAGGATCTAAAAATCCTCGACGAAGATTTTCTGTTCGCGAAGTGAACAAGTCATTTAAAAGGTATATAAAATAATTTAAATCAAACTAAAACTTTTTTGAAAATGTATATATTTCTCCTTAGGTATTTACCGTATTTGCTTGCAAGAAATGTATATATTTGAAGTTGAAAATTTTGAAAACTGATTTCTCATTTTAGCACAAGCGACAGGAGATCTAAAATGATATCAGCTCCAACAAATTTTAATCACATTTCACATATGGGACCAGGAGACGGAATTCAAAACCAACGGCTTTTGGATCTTCCTACTACTATAGAAACAGCTGATCAGATAAGCAATCAATCTTTTATTATACGTCAATCTTCACTTACACCACACGCTACTGCACGCCAAATGATAAATTCACAAAATGGTTAAATACTCATGTTGAATGGAATTTATATTAATAGTTATTCAATTACAGGAAATCCTCAAAAAGCTCTTACAATTGATCAACAGAGAACAATTGAATCAGAGCAACTTCAAGCACAAGCTCGCTCACCAAGTCCAGTTTCTAATTTGAGCTCACCAAAGGATTCACCGGACATACAGTCTTATTTGCCGTTTTAAGGTCATATAATGTATTATTTTTTTGTATTTATTTATTTTTTATGTTACATTATAATAAGTTTTACTATTTTTTTTAAATAAATATGCTCATACTTATTTGTATATTTAAAACATGAGGACAAAATATGAATTTTAAACTAGAATGGTGAGTTTATGTATAAGCGATAAGAGATATTTATTACTATGTTACTGGATAGTATGATCCTTAAAAGAATGGAACTTTATTTAAACTTATGTCATATCATACTACATAATTAGATAGAAGAGATGATTTGTGTACCAATAACCGCTTTGATACGCATCCAAAATCAAATGGTTAGTTTCGAATTATGAAAACCTTATAATTCAGTTACGTTAGTACATATATCGTCAGATATTTCATCAATTTTATCTGAGAGGATTTAAAAAAAAAGTCGAATCCATCTTAGTTATTTATAAATAAATGTAGGAGTGCTGTAGTATCGGAACCTAATGTGAAGTTTTTGATACTTCAGAGCAATATTTCAATATACAAAGTTGGTAATCATTTACATTAAATGTAGAGAACGTATAATGGGTGATAGTTTGTAGCGCTGATTTTAGTACATCATTCTGACAATTATAGCTTTGTAAACAAATAACAACTTTTGACATTTATAATATTTAAAAGGGCATTTCGTAAAATACTTCCCATTTCTATTCGTGTTGCAAAATTAAGTTCAATTGTTAATTTTAAACTTTTATCATAATTGCTCACATATACTAATATAGGTGTTTTATTTAAAATTTACTTATAAAGATGGCTACTACATTTACGAATACGCATAGAGCGCCTTATCCCTTTTGGACAAAACGCTCTGTTGTGTTCCTTTTCCCAAATCGTTTCTCAATTGAAACCACTTTAATATTTTTCTTGTAAAGCAATATGAAAGAAAACTTTTAAGAAATTAAAACTAGAAGAGACTAAAGTAAATATATTTAATTCACTAATTGCCAATGCTCAAAGTGAATATTGTTACTTTTTTAATTGTACGTGCGGGTTTCAACAATATTGTCATGGCACATTATTCAAAAATGGATTTTTAAGGAAGAGTATATATGTTTTGTGTAGTGTTTTTTTTTTATCAAATAAAGGTCGTAGAGCCACAAGGTGGGTTTGCATTTTAATAGATATTTGCTTTAAAATGTTATTGTAAAATTTTATAATAAGCAAATTACTTATTTATAAAAAGTTCTTATAATACAAGAATTTGTATTGTTGTTGCATTATCCAAAACAGTTTTATGTATGAAATTTTTCGCCAATAATTAAACTTCAAATAAATACAAAATAGTACATTATTTCCAAATTAGCTTAGGAAATACCTAATTGATTTATTTAACTATGCACTTTCTTTTCTAAAGAATTCTTATATTGTATATTCTAATTAATTTGTTCACACAATAATATTCGATATCAAATAAAATAGTCAAATATTTCGAATTTTTCCCCTTATCTGGATTATCGTAAGAAGAAAAATTCAATTAAATTTTCTTGCTTTAGACGGTTGTAAGTTACAGCCGCACAATCTTTTGATTTTATTAAAAAATATTAACCGAAAATATTTGGTGTTGCGAACGTGACTATATACCCTAAAAGTAAATGGGTGCGTAATGTCAATTAATCTGCACTCCCTCCAAACAGGGTTTAGACTAACCAAAAACCTAATTAATTAATTGTATCTTTACAGATTTCTTATAAATCATATACATTTTGACTCATAAATGGTAAAGTATTACAAAAATCATGAATCAAATAAAAAATATTGGAAGTTCTGAAAATCCAAAACATAATAACTTCCAAAGCAATAATACTACTTCAGTAAAACGGAATAATTCAACAGAAATAAGTATAAGTTCAACGAAAAAAATTAAATTAGATAATACTGTTTGGAATACTGACGGTATTTTAATTAAGAAACCAGTGAATGAGAGCACCAAGGACGAACATACAAAGAAGATTTTTAAAAGAGAATCTGTGGCAAAAACTTTTCAAAATTTTCCAAATCAAGATTGTGAAATATCCGGAGAAAAAGGAAAACCAGCTTTTAACACCATCCGGAACATACCTATCCCATCACCATCGAGTCCACGTAATTCAGAAGACTTTGTGGTTATCTCGTCTAATGCAGCAGACTATATTGAAGACAAAGATTGTGATAAAAGCACCAGAAATAAGCCAATATCCGAAACAAGTAACATTCTGCTAAATGCTAACATAACGGGACGAAAAGAGTTAAATTCTAAAAGTTCTGGACAAACGGAAACTGTAGATTTAGGCATATTACCTTTAAATCAAGAAATAAATACTAATGAATTTGATGTTGTCATGTTGTCATCTATACAGGAACAAAAGCCAATACAGCAATTGTCTTTAAGTTCTGATAATAGTCATTCTGGGTCGTTATCTCGTGTTGTAGCTTCTGGTGGAAATATTTTGCGACCGAGTACAGTGACTTACACACGTATAACCACTGCAAGTACAATATCGGCCGGCTTACCACAAAATGCAACAGTATTGAATAGAAGGAATATTTCTCCAAATTTGAAGAATCAGCAAGTAATGACAACAAGTAAGAAGCTTGCATCGGAGGTTACACAAACTACAGCAAAAGTTTCAATTGGTAATACCACAATATCTGTTCCATTATTAAAACCTTTAAATTCTTCACAACATGTGCATCAAGGCAGCACAGGATCTTCCGAGATTCAAAAGCAATCCCAAGCCAATACGCAAACGGCTTCACAGCAACTCTCTTCTCAAACGCAAATAAATTTGAGCAAAATTTTGACGACAAAGCAAGGATATAAAGGTAGTCATCCAACTATAGTATCTCTTTCACAACTTCAAATTAAACCAGTATCAACCACAAAGTTGGTTCAAACTAAAGTTTTTGGTAAGAAACTACCACAACTTCAGTGTTCAGTAGCAACAAATTCGCAGCCTAATTCTGGACTTGTTACTATTGCCGTATCAAAAGCTAAACCAAGTGTAGCTCTCAATCAATCGAGTTCAAAGAAAATAAGTATCAAAACAGATTCCGGAGGAATATTACATAATAATGCCAATTTAGAAGATGGATCAAGTGTAACTGACAGTAATGCTAACATGGACAAAATGGATTTTACAAATGAAAAAGTAGAAACATCTATCAGTGATAACCATATGTTAGACTCCAATATATCAAAAACTTTAGGTTCCATACAAAATTCACTGAAGATTGTATCTCCAGTCACTGATGAAATTACCTTAAATAAAACAGCGGCTACTATTAAAAAAGTTTTAAATCCAAATGTAAATATTCTACCTTTACTAACGCCACTATCAAAGAATACGGAGCAACAAGGAAACACAAATATTTATCCAGCTGTTAGTATAATTAGACAAAATGTCCCTCAATTAATTACAACATCAGCTACAACCACTTGCGTATCCGTTTCAACTGGTGTGTCAGATAATAATATACAGACAGAATTCCATAGTACAAAGCAAACAAATCTGAATAATTTATGTGGAAAATTAAATTCTTCATCCATAATTTCAATTCCAAAAAATATTTCGTTAGTTTTATCGAAAAATAACACGAACCAACAATCGAAGGCGACTATAGTATCAAATTCGGTTAGAAACGCAAACTTAATCGATCAGAAGGTAAAAAAAATCAATTTAACAGTTTCAAGTGCCCTTAATGTAACAGCAGTTAGCTCAATGAATACGGTACAGCCTTTTAATGCCAGTAATAATTCATCGACACAAAATCATTCACAACTGCAAGATGCAAGTCCAATTAATAAATCTGCTGTTATATCAGTCGCAGTACAACCTCCTAGTTTACTAAATTCAACTGATCAGAGTCTACTACCTCGTAAAACGGTCAAAGTAACACCCTACACGCTGTCTTCATTGGGCCAACATTTAGATAAACGATGTAAATCACTTGAAGTACATGAACAAGAGCATCGTCAGAATATTTCACAAAATGTCGATATTTTACCTACAAAACGCAACAAATATGAAAGTCCTGAGGTCAGTGCAGATGTATTTGAGAGTTTGAACAAAAAAGAAGCTGTTGATAATTCGCATTCCTACGTTGATGCAAAATCCATAAAAAATCTTGACAAGCATGGAAACATTGAACTTAATAAGTCGCCTATAACTGTTCCTAAATCAGAGGATTCCAACAATGTTCTGCTTAAGAAACTTCTTCAAAATTCGAGTAGTTCTCAACATCTAAATATTCACACGTCCATAGCTACAAATATGCTGAACCCAGTTACGAACTCAACACCGGCATCTGTTTGTAGTCAAGTATTATCTGCCAGAAAAGTAATTAATGTACGTGCTCCAAGTTTGGGTTTAGTTAGTTCTCTGGAGGCGCAGTTAGCTCGACCAGTTATACCTCCTGTCCCTGCGACAACTTCTGCACCGGTTCAAAGTGAGATTTCAAAATCACAGAAATCTGACACTCAAGAAGATTTACTAAATAAAATGAACAATGAAGTAACAGGATCTCAAAATGATGGAAAAATAAAATGTGTTCAAGTAATTTCAAAGGAAACGTCATTTGTCTCCAACCCAAACATAAGCCCTTTCGCATTAGATGATGCGTGTCGTTCTAAATTAACAGTTCCTGGACAGGACCTTGAACATGAACCGTTTAAAGCAAGTAAAGCTACATGTCAGAAAAACGATACCAGTAATGCATCTCAACAAAACTACTCACATAATACACATCCAAAAGAATGCAATGGAAACGAGGTTAAAGAAGGGAATTCATTAGGAAATCTTTGCCCCCCAAATAAAACGTAAGTAAAAAAAAATAACCACGATCTAGTTTTGACTAAGGCCTTTGAAAATTATCATCTCCTGTTACCTTGAATTATATTGTTGCTATCAGGCTATATCAGAGCAAAGAGCAACATTATCCACGCGTATATTGTTACTTTAGTTAACAGACCAATGTAGAAACGTATTACGAATTTTCTAATAGTGATTTCAGAAAAATAAATAATTTTCAAAGTCTTGTTTATACTCTAATATAATATAGTATATCACTTAATTAATAATATAGAGAAGTAACTGAAGTTTTGTTTTTATATAGATAGATTAGTAATATGCTTAATTAGATGTTTCCAATAAAGCGATAAATTATGTATATTAGGCATTAATAATATTAACTTAATATTTTGTTTTTTTAAACTTAAAGACCCTCAACCATTTGCCCTGGCAGCATAAATAATCAAAATTTGGACAGTGATGCGTCAACAATTTTCACAACTAGCACTGAGGGGAAAGAAGAGACAAACGTTGAAAATTTCTCCAGTTTTGTATCATCTTTTCCGGCTTTGACGGACTCATCAGAAAATGCAGAAAAGAGCGAAAATATAATAACTAAACCTTATGTGAACAGTCTGTTAGATGCATCTGCGAAGTCAAAAGTGCCATCGAGATATGATAATGAAACACAAAATTCGAATACCCAAGTAAATTTAAAATTGGACAATAAAAGTATTTTAAATGAAAAGAGTGTACTGCCTGATTGCAATGATTCCACCAATATTGTATCTATCGATCAGAAGACAATAACTGTAGATAAAGACATTGAGTCGAGAAAAAAACGGAAAAGAGAATACCAAAAGCAACGCAGGTTGTTGCTAAGTGGCAAGGAGACTAATGCGAACGCTGTAAACTCTACTACAAATGTACCTGGACCAAAAAAAAGGTCAAGAAAACTTTCCAAAATCGAAGAGGACTATGACAATTTCATTGATAATTTAATGACACACCTAAAGCAAATGAAACCGTTGCAAGTATTGGAACCTTTATTAAATAGAAATTTCCTTGTTTGTAATGCATATGGCTTAAGCAGCAACCTTCCTCGTGGAGTAAGTAGTAAAGAGAATGGTGATCTTTCGCAAACACCTCCGCTATTAGGGGAGTATGGAAATGCGCATCATTCCAATGCAAATACCTTATACGATACAGAGTCATTTTATTCATCAGAAAACAATAAAGAGAAAAAGTTGTCTACAATACAAAATGATTTTTATGATCAGGAGTTCTCATCAAATATGCGAAATAATTATTACGACAGATACTTGCGAGTATGGAGTATTATGAAAGAACGCAACATTGAGTCCTCAGATATTGTGACTAACTGCAGTGTCAATAGTGTCGACATAGTAAATACGGTTGGAGAAAAATTCAATAAGTTTTCATTACAGCAGCTTATTTATCCCGGTTTAGTTGTTATGAATAAAAACAATGAGCATTATGTAGACCGAATGTCACCAAGTATCCCATTTATCGACTCAACATTTAATATGAAAAGAAGTTGCCTTGTAAAAGCGGTAAAGCAAATTGACGGCATTGAAAATGTTAACCAGATTTTAAATACTGGAACTAATATCAGGTAACTTGTTACATTTTTCCTTCAAAATATTTCAATTCAATTTACAGTAACAAAGCACATATGTTAAAAAATCATATTCTCATACAGTTCCCTTTGAACTTAAGGTTATAACAAGGCGTGCGTACATTTGTATAATGAACTTGTCGTCGCCAGTTACCTGAGGCGTGCGTACATTTGTATAATGAACTTGTATGTACTTATGGTACTTGCGACTTGTGCAAATCTTTACCCTATAATTTCATTATAATTTTTTGGTAGCACACATATTATTTTGGTGATTTTTCACCAAGGTATATTAAAAGATGTAATCATTGGCGCCAAATCCAGAACTTTTAGTTTTTTATGTAATTTGTGGGTATGTTTAGCCATTATCATGCCTACTTGGCCTCTCTGCTTATAACACTGTGCAATATATATTCTTTTTAAGTTGAATGCCTGTAATATGCATTATCAATAAGTTTGTAACAAGAAACTTAATATTTCATTTTCAGGACGAAACGTGACGAAAGCCTCAACCGAGTTGTTACATTATCTGTTCAATTATCTGCTGTTAATAATATATTTGGGGTACTTAAAGACTTGGCGAATCTGTTGCATATTCCAGCGCCGACAATGTATAAAATAATTGATAAGCCAACATTTAATTTATCTCATGACCTTACACCAAAGAATAATATTAAGTTGACAACTAAAAGTCAAATAAGTTTTCAGCAAGATGTTATTTGTGGTAGAAAAAAAATTTGCTATAATTGTGGTGCCTCGATTTCAGATTCGAGAATTAAATATTTTAAAGTACCTTTTTGTGATATGAAAGAAATTCGCCCTTCCACCTTGTCTCCAGATTTATCGCCAATGACGTTACACTTCTGTGACAAATATTGTTACGAACACTTTAATAATCCTCATGAGGCCCTCAGCTCAAATTCAAAATCAAAAATTGAAGATGCACAAATAACTTCTGAACAAAAGTTTGGTGAGGAAAACCTAACTGGGAACAGATCTATGGCGAATCAAATTAATATATCTAAAAGTTGCATTTACAAACACTATAATGTCAACTGTTTTAAAGAGACAACTCAAAGAATTAGTCGTTTTTCTGAAAGTGTTACGCAAGGCAGTGAAATATGTGTAGAAGAAAATAAAGAACAAAATGGATTCGCTGGTTGTATCTTAAATAGTTCTATTGAAGATATACGTGAGTGTGTTTTTTGTTATCAACGAGGAGACGGCGTACCCAATGGACCATCGCGGTTACTCAATTTTGATATAGACAAATGGGTAAGTATGAATTAAAATCACTCATCAATATTTGTATGTATGTATATGCCTATATTCTGGACTTTTATTTGTATTTGCAATAGTAGAGCAAAGTATATTCGCTGAAAATAATATTAATTATTTTTAAATTAAAAAAACTGATAAAACAGAAGCCAAACAATAATATTTATTTATTATAATTCACCATCATTCTAGGTACATTTAAACTGCGCTCTGTGGTCTAGCGAAGTGTATGAGACTATAAGCGGTGGCCTTATGAACTTTCCCGCAGCTTTACAGATGGGCCTTAATCAATCGTGTAGCGGATGTCAACAACTCGGTGCCACAGTACGCTGTTTTAAAAATCGTTGCAACCAAGTTTTTCACTTACCATGTGCAATAAGAGAGCATTGTGTTTTCTATAAAAACAAAACCATACATTGTCAGCAGCATGCAAATCGATTAGAAAAAGAAAATGAATTGTCATCTCTTACCGTTCATAGACGTGTGTTTGTTGAAAGAGACGAAAATAGGCAAGTGGCGACTGTAATGCATCACTCAGAATTAACAAACTTACTTCGAGTTGGTACCTTAATTTTTTTAAATATTGGACAATTACTTCCTCATCAGTTAGAAGCATTTCACACCATAGATCACATATATCCTGTAGGATACAAAGTAGTAAGTACAACAGTTAGATTTTAAAAAAATGTAATTATATCATGCATGTGATATGATGATCTATTTGAGTAAAATGGATTATGAAATTGTATTCGAACGTTATTTCTAGATTCGATTTTATTGGTCGATGAAGAGACCGAATCGACGATGTCGTTATGTATGCTCAATAAATGAAACTGCTGGTCGCCCTGAATTCCGCATTCAAGTGCAGGAGCCTGGAAGCGAAATCGAGTTGCGTGATTCTTCCCCTAATGCCGTTTGGAAACAAATTTTGACCCCCATCGCATTTATGCGTAAAAACAATAAAGTTGTTCAACTATTCCCTCAATTTATTTCTGGAGAAGATCTGTTTGGATTAACAGAGCCTTCTGTAGTTCGTATTATAGAGAGTTTACCGGGCATAGAAACACTAACAAACTATCGTTTTAAATATGGGCGAAATCCTTTGTTAGAATTGCCTCTTGCAATAAATCCAAGTGGGTCTGCACGCACCGAGCCAAAACAGCGACAAATTGTTGCTTGGAGAAAACCTCATACACAAAGAACTGGCTCAGCTGCAAATCAACGTATGGCAAATTCTACAACATCTATTGCAGGTGAAATAGCATGCCCCTACAGTAAGCAATTCGTTCACTCGAAAAGTTCTCAATATAAAAAAATGAAACAGGAATGGAGAAACAATGTATACTTGGCGAGGTAAACAACAATTATCACGTATTCATATACATATCTGATACGAGTCAGATAATATTGATGTGTACTGTATTGTACTCTTTATTTTCAGATCAAAAATACAAGGGCTTGGTTTATATGCTGCCCGTGATATAGAAAAGCATACTATGATAATTGAATATATTGGGGAAGTTATTCGCACCGAGGTGTCAGAAATTAGAGAGAAGCAATATGAAGCAAAGGTATTTATATATGTCTATATTAGATTGAAAAAATGTTGTATTAGGAATTAAGAGAGAACTTAGGTACTTTCACCTTTCCATTGCATTATACTATACGTATTATAAATTGGAAAAAACTATATTTCTTTATTAATATTGTTGGATATACAAGTATATTTGTGTGTTTCTATGTAGATATTAAAAATATTCTAGCTCTGACCTCTGGGGAAAATATGCTTAAATTTTCTTTAGTTTACCAAAAAAACTTTGTTTATTAAATAGAACCGAGGAATATATATGTTTCGTCTGGATGAAGATAGAGTGGTCGATGCTACCTTGTCTGGAGGATTAGCGCGGTATATAAATCATTCTTGCAATCCTAACTGTGTAACTGAGACTGTTGATGTAGATCGTGAACTTAGGATAATAATATTTGCAAAGCGAAGGATTAACAGAGGTGAAGAGGTAGTTTCTTTAATCATAAAATATAAGAGACATTTATTTTGTCTAATTATATACACATTTTTAGCTGTCTTATGATTATAAATTTGACATTGAAGACGATGCCCATAAGATATCTTGCATGTGTGGTGCTCCTAACTGCAGAAAATGGATGAATTAAGCAGCTATATATATGAAGTAAATTATATTAAGCAAACTCATATCAATGTTGTATGAATTAAAATTATTTAAAAATACTTATAGTTAGTTATAAGCTTGGGTATTTAGTACCCTAAATAGTTATCTGTAATCTTGTAACAATATATATAATAAATTAAAGTTGCTTGGAATTTTGTATTTGCAGAATAATGACGATTATTATTTATGTAATATGAGACTCTTGGTTCCTCAACAGAAAAAGGACGTTATTATAAAAATGTTGCGCACTACTTTTTCTGTATATGTTATTCTTATACTCTCCCCACATTGTGTACAGAAATGTTTTCTAAAAAGCATTAAACAATCTAAGGATGTAGATTTTGGGTCATGTTCAGAAACACAAAATAAATTTATACTACCACATACCTATTTTGTACGGAAGTACGACAACCGATATCTGGGGTAAAAACTGGGATATCTCGATAGAAGTTGGTACACGTGTTTATTGCCATTATTCCGAAATCCGTTTTATTAGAAAGTATAGGTCAAAGTTTTTATAATCAAATAAATATAAAAATGAGGTAATCTCACCCACTTTCTTAAAAACTATTGGAAGTCTTATCTTACCAATCTTAGCCTAAAGGTTACACGTTTTTCTTATACTTTCCCATCTTTCACTATATAACTAAAGCATTAAAAAATATATTTAAACCAAACTTACCCCTAACGTATGGCGAATTCTCGAAAATTTACAAAATCATACCATCGTATTGTTCGTATAAATCGTATTTTTTATTGTTTTCAAATTTCTTTCATACATATTGTATACCATACATGTGATATTTAAATGTGTAATTAAATTTACATGACCTTGGAGTTAAAAAATTATAACATTTATATTTTAGATTTAAAAAGTTTTAAATACATATCTTTGTTCATTTTTGTTATACATACGAGTTTATATATAATCAGCTGAGATTTTTTTTTTTCATGTTAGGTCTGTTTATTTTGCAACAACTATTGAACAATACTAAATACTAAATGGTAACGAAATGTGTGCATTCTTTGCCTTGTCATGTAAAATTATTTATAACTTTTTTTCTGTATTCAAAAAAGTTTACGTACAATATTGTAGACTTTCTTATGAACATTTTGTGCTGCGAAATGAGCCGCTTTGTATATGCGACCCACATCCTCATTGCTAACAATTTGAGAGTATATCTTTCTAAGTTCCCCAAAAATTTCGCAAAGTTGTATACTTATCTGCAATCATACATACACATATATATAGTGTGAACATACATAACAGTATACATTATTGTTTTGTAGATATTTTATTTCATATTTAGATATATGTACTTACATTATTCTATACAAACATACGATGTCTATATTTATATTTCGTGTACCTAGCATCTTGCATAATGCATATTAGGTAAACTTATATGTATTTAAACATGTGTTCATTTAAATATCCCAGTTGGCCATCAATGCGTGTTGAGCTACAATAAAAAAATACTACATTTAGAAGGTACGTATATGCATACATACATACATATGGATGTAATGATGTTAATGTCATCTTAAGCCAAATGTTGGAATAGAAATATTTTTTTTTTTTTTTGGGCACTGTTTGTTTGTAATAAATCAGTAAGAAGTTAGCCCTTAAATGGGTCTGAGTATGCTTGGTATGTTCATACCTCCATATACATCTATGCAAACGTACACATGTAGGCATATAATATTATATCTTCTTATCTTGACATTAAACAATACACAAGTATGAAAACTACATGAATCCATTACGCAAATGCATGTAAATATAATTCTATTGTTTAAGGCAAAACTTTTAAGCCAAAGGCTTGGCTATTCCATTCTTGATTGTGATACTAAATGATAAAGTCAACTTTGAAAGAATGGGTTGGTTTTCGTTTTCAATATTGCTTGCGTCTTTAGAACTAGTAAGTAAAACATTTAAAATGTCAGCCTGTCTATTGAACTTTTGGAAACTAAATTAATTTGCCATTATCGTGATAATAATTAGTATAAATACTACAAATGTATGCAGACCCATACATATTGTTATTTATCAAAGTACGTGGGCAGTGAGCTTGTTATTAAATACTGAAATTGATTAATTTGTTAATAAGAGGTGATGAAACAAAAGTTACCCGGGTTTGTTTGAAGATGGAAATATATGTAGTGAACCACTTTAAACACAAACCAATAAACATATATGTGAATATGTAAGAATGTACATATATATGTATCTTTCTGAGTGTTTAAATATATGTACGTGTGTAATGTGTAATAACCTTTCGAAAACCAATAATTGCACACGATGCACCTCATGGGTTGTCATATTAAGGTGTATTATATATTTATACAATGCACATAATGCATACATTTATTTTTCGTGAGAGTTTATTGCCTCCCGCATAATTGTATGTGCATAATTACCTACATTACATTGTACATGCATATTAAGTATTGTCACGCAAATTAAGCATCAGGTTGTTTTATAATTCTTTTAATTTAAGGTAATATCTTTCGCTGCTTTAATCGCAAAAAAAGTCACAGACAGCCAAGGTGAGCAAGTTTTTAAAAGAAACCAAAAATTATCAACTGAATGGAGCTTACTTAATAACTTAAATTGGTCTCAGGCTGGAAACGACTTCAGCATTATAGTTTATGGTGGATACACTTTTATAGCTGGGGTTTTTTTATTGTCAAGGTAATAGCTTCAACTTCTTATTTAATTATTTCGCATTACTCCGAAATAATTTTTTTTAATAACATAGCCAAATACATACACCTTTTTCCATACGTATATTTTAAATTGGGAATACAGTGAAACTTTTTAATTTGAAGTTTGTACAAATATGTTTTAAAAATTAACAATTTTGTATCTTTAAAAATACTAAATGTAAATTAACTTTAGATTATATATCGATAATCAGGCCTCGCTCGGACTTTTTGAATAGTTAAACCAATTTGCAAACAAGTTCAAATTTGTATTATTCTAAAAAAAACATTTTTAGTATAGTTATTTTAAGCAATTGATTTCTTATATGTATATACGTATACATATACATATATGATTTTTTCAGAATGAAAGCAAATAAATTTGAAATGTGTGAGAAAACATTGCTGTACTGCGGAACAATATTCTTCGTCATTCAAGGTGAGCTTTAATTATCTTTTTATCTTAAACCATAACATACAAAAAGTAATCTGCAAGTTGCCGAAAGAATGAGGTTACATTTTGGAAACATAAATGTAAGCAGCACCACTGAGCCGATGGATTCGCCTTGGGTTTTGGATTATCATAAAATCCGAATGTAATTGTATACACTCAGCTTATTTTTTCAAACAAATTTTTTCAATGACAAACTTTCAAATTTGGAATTTTATGTTATTTTGGTCTTAAATTAACTCATTTAAGATTAATATAAGATTAAATCATATATTTCAGCTTGTTTAGTGTTTGGAACTTTGGAGTACATACCAAATGATATTCAAATAAATGCGCTAGTTCTCGGAACATTATCAGTTATAGGATCATTATTATTCTTTATTGACATTTGCTACAACTCTTCTTTAAATTATGTTGTATCAAGGTCGGTACAAACTGAGACATATTGCGCGCTTTCAAATCAGTTGTCAAGTATCCAACAAAAGTCACCATCCTCTTCCCGGGTCTTACGTCGAGAAAGTGTTCAAAAATACTCTTCCGGAAACGGATTATATATTAAACCACTATCAATAAATTTAAAAAAATGTCAAACGGAAAATGGCATGCAAAATAAAAATTTAAAACGTGTTTTGCAAACTGATGTATGAACATTTTAAAATTTAGTTTTTATTTTCATGAAATGTTATGAAGTCCTGCTATTTTCACAGCGTATTGCAAAGTTCAATAATGCCAATAATTTATTAACTAATTGTTACTGATTGTAATCACATATATTGTATATATATTTAAAAAATATCTTAATAATTATTAAATTTATACCACAGTAATATTGAGAATATAAAACACATTTACATTTTTTTTGTGATAAATATCATATATGAAATGAGATTGTTTAGAAAATTTTACGTGCCAAAAGTATTTTCCCGGGTGATAGAGAGTCTGTCTGTTTGGGAATTTTGCCAAAATCAAAGATTTCTGTAATTTTGAAAGGCACTCTCATCAAGCATTTGTTCTCATTTTATTCAGTCGCCGTCGATCGTTTCAAAAGCGCGATCTTTCCTTAGCTCTTATTTTCGGCTGGGCTAAACATTGTTTCGCAATAAGAAAAATTAAAAATTTTAATTATTGACGCCGAGTAAAAAATTTGTGTAAGTTTTTTAAAAATTGAAAGTAATGTATTGAAAATTTGCTGTGCTATTTAGTTGAAATAAGCACTAAAACTTAAAACCAAATAATTTTTTGTGCTATTAGTTATCATAAATCAGTAAAGTTAAGTTTTTTTTCAGTTTTAAATCTACCGAAAAATAAAGAAGTAGATATTTCAAGATAAGATTTAAACCAGTTTTTTGTGATTATAAAAAAGTGTTATGTGTAAAATAGATAATTTTGAAGCAATCATATCTAAGCAACATGCAAAAATATGACAAGGTTAAAATTTTAATAAAATTCTTCGAAATTTAATGAAGTCAACAAAAGCCTTTCGTAATAATATATGTCAAGAAAAGATGAATTTCTACATCTATTATAAAATTAATTATTTTTAGAATACTAAGCATTGAAACGAATTGGAACAGACCATGTGACAGTCTCCTGGGCAACGGTGATAATGCCTATGGATACTCACATTTGCATACGTACATACATGTATATTATATCCGTGCACACATTATAGTTCGACTATCATCTCTTCATATTTACCAAGGCGTCTATGGAGTTTGCGCAATATTCAAATACTGAATATACCTTACTTATACTCTTAGCATTGATATATTTTCCCTTAAAGACTGATTATAAAATATATGATAATTTATAATAGTACTCACGATTATCATGGCTAAGACTATATTCAACGGTTATTCAAGTGTTCGGAAATGATCTTTCACACTGAGTAAATCTATAAAATTTTCCCTTAACATCTTACTTTGTAGCTAAATATTATTTTCAATACATTTTGTCCCCTATTGAAATAGAACATTTTGCATATTCTTACTTGCATGAAATGAATACACGTACAAATGAATTTATATGTCCGTCGTAAAAACATAGGCATCCATTCACAGATACTTGTACTCTTCAAGGTATTGTGATGAATGTATGTAAGTATATTAAAATAGAACAGATTTAAAATTCGTTCTTTTATTTAGTATAGTTTAAACATTTCTTGATCTAAATTTTGAATATACAGCCAAATTTGCCTTTTCTGGTTTAATTTTTTTAATTACTGCATTTCATGGTTCGAAAATATTTGAAGAACTTTTTTAAAGTTTCAAATTATGCCCAGAAGAAATTCACAAACTCGGTATATATACTTAATTAATTTATTTAAATAATATGTTCCTATTTTTTTCGATAATTTATGCAACACTTTTAGGTTTTATTTTTAATTTTATCATTTTGCCACTTTCAATCACATGAATTTTTTCTGAGTGTTTCACAATTAATTTATAATAATGGCAACACTTCAAAAGCCAGCTGTCAGGCCATGCTTCCTCCATATCGTATAACGTTGCGTTCTTCAGCATTATTCACCATCGCGCTTGTCTTTTGTTTTAGTATTTCTTCATTACTAAAGTAGCACATAAAATAATACGATTTATAACGATTTAATTAAAACTAAAGAATTTAAGGGTGTTAAGTAAATGTACATAGTTCAAAGAGTCGTTTTCTGGTTGCTGCAAATTTGTCAAAAAATAGGAGTGCAGCTGATTATCTCCTGATCTAATCGAGTAAATGCAATTTGGATATAATTTTGAGAAATATGTACGTATGCTCAAAAACTCTCATTTGGACCTAAGGTCATATTTTTTATGTGATTACTGCTCTAAACGTGTTCATTAATATTATTTATTACATTAAATTGAGGCAAAATTTTTGTTCTAAATTTATCTATGTATGTACATGAGTATCGGTAGTTATTTGAGTAATCGTTAGTTCTTTAAATCATGTAATTTATAATGATATGATATATAACGGAACGTTAAAAATTTGATAACATGACAAAATATGTGAAAATGTATAAATTGTTAAATTTATTGTTATTGCTTACAAGAAACGAACGGCACAACTGCCCAGAACTAGTATTTCTCTAAATTCCACATTTTTCGATAAAAAAGTCCACGTCATTCAAATTCAGTGAAATCAAATGACCTATTCTAGATGTCATAATTTTTCCATCAAATAAATTTTGTTATTATTTGATTTGTTTTAAATAGTACATAAATACACTAATTTACTGAAGAATAACCCAATATAAAAAGAAAAAAGTGCAATGCTAGTCCACAATGTCAAACGCCACTGAATTTATGCACTCAAAGTTCGTAACAATTCTAAAAAGTTAGAAGTCTAATTCGGTAAAGATGAATGGGTTGCATGGCGCTTCAGAAATATAAATAATTGATTGTGAAATTTACGAGTCAATGCCTCATTCTTCTCATTTCTCTTTAAAAAAATGTCAATCTTACAAAACTGTTTTGTTTTACTATGTGTAAAATTTAAATATAAACAATATAAAATTGAATTTAAATTTGTATAATAATTTTTCAGAATTCCTGCGCGTCGATAATCAATAACAATGGAAGACGGCCACGCTAAAACCGTCGAACAAGCCTTGAACTTTTTTGGCACAGACTCTGAACGCGGACTTACATTGGAACAAGTAAAAGCCAATCAAAAAAAATATGGTCCAAATGGTAATATCTATTATATTTTTACATTTTTCGTTAAATTTGCTCATTTTTCTACTATTTCTCTCTCCCCTCAGAGCTGCCTACGGAAGAAGGTATTTAAAATATATTTCACGGAAACAAAATAGATTAACGAAAATGTATATTTTTTGCAGGAAAAACTATATGGCAACTTGTTTTAGAACAATTTGACGATCTTCTTGTGAAAATTCTGTTATTGGCCGCTATTATTTCTTTTGTAAGTTTAATTTTTCTTTAATTTAATTTTTAATATGTGTACGTATGTATATGCATAAATACATGTTTTGAAACCGATTTTATAATTTCAATAATTTGACTGCACTATACAATTTGAATTCATATTTTTTCAGGTCTTAGCTTTATTTGAAGAGCACGAAGATACATTCACAGCATTTGTAGAACCTTTAGTTATTCTTTTAATTTTGATAGCAAATGCCGTTGTAGGTGTATGGCAAGAACGAAATGCTGAGTCTGCAATCGAGGCCCTCAAAGAATATGAGCCGGAAATGGGTAAAGTAGTTCGCCAAGACAAATCTGGAATTCAGAAAATTAGAGCGAAGGAAATTGTTCCTGGAGATATAGTTGAAGTGTCCGTTGGAGATAAAATTCCTGCTGATATTCGACTAACACATATCTACTCTACTACTTTGCGAATTGATCAATCAATTTTGACTGGTGAATCGGTGTCAGTTATAAAACACACAGATCCTATTCCTGATCCACGGGCCGTTAACCAGGATAAAAAGAATATATTATTTTCGGGTACAAATGTGGCAGCTGGTAAAGCTCGAGGCGTGGTCATTGGTACGGGTTTAAACACAGCGATTGGCAAAATTCGCACAGAAATGTCAGAGACAGAAGAAATAAAAACTCCATTACAACAAAAATTGGACGAATTTGGCGAGCAGCTTTCAAAGGTGATTTCGATAATTTGTGTTGCTGTATGGGCAATAAATATTGGCCATTTCAATGATCCCGCTCATGGCGGTTCGTGGATCAAAGGTGCTATATATTACTTCAAGATTGCTGTAGCATTGGCTGTTGCGGCCATTCCAGAGGGTTTACCAGCTGTAATTACAACTTGTTTGGCTTTGGGAACCCGCCGCATGGCGAAAAAAAATGCTATTGTTCGTTCATTGCCATCTGTAGAAACATTGGGTTGCACATCCGTGATTTGCTCAGATAAGACTGGTACTTTAACTACAAACCAAATGTCGGTATCAAGAATGTTTATTTTCGAAAAGGTTGAGGGTAACGATAGTAGTTTCCTCGAGTTTGAACTGACTGGATCGACATATGAACCTTTGGGTGAGCTTTTCTTGGGAGGCCAACGTGTAAAAGCTACAGAATATGAAGCCCTTCAGGAGTTAGCTACTATTTGTATTATGTGTAATGATTCCGCAATCGATTACAATGAGTTTAAACAATGTTTCGAAAAGGTTGGTGAAGCCACAGAAACGGCTTTAATTGTACTTGCTGAAAAATTGAATCCGTTCAGTGTCAATAAAACTGGCCTCGATCGCCGTTCTGCCGCTATTGTTGTGCGTCAAGAAATCGAAACGAAATGGAAAAAGGAATTCACTCTTGAGTTCTCCCGTGACCGTAAATCAATGTCTTCATATTGTACTCCATTGAAAGCATCCCGACTGGGAACTGGTCCAAAATTATTTGTAAAAGGTGCGCCCGAAGGTGTGTTGGAACGTTGTACACATGCACGTGTTGGAACAAGCAAAGTGCCACTGACTTCAACCTTAAAGAGCAAAATTTTGGCTTTGACTGGGCAGTATGGCACTGGACGAGACACTTTGCGTTGTCTTGGTTTAGCTGTAGCGGACAGTCCTATGAGGCCAGATGAAATGGATTTGGGAGATTCTACCAAATTCTATCAATATGAAATAAATTTAACATTTGTTGGTGTCGTGGGTATGTTGGATCCTCCGCGTAAAGAAGTTTCGGATTCTATTGTACGTTGCCGAGCAGCAGGCATCCGAGTAATTGTAATAACTGGTGATAATAAGGCAACCGCTGAAGCAATTTGCCGTCGCATCGGTGTTTTCGGTGAAGACGAAGATACGACTAATAAATCATATTCCGGTCGTGAATTTGATGATCTTTCACCCGCTGAGCAAAAATCGGCTTGTGCCCGGGCCCGGCTCTTTTCTCGCGTAGAGCCACAACACAAGTCAAAAATTGTTGAATATCTACAAAGCATGAATGAAATTTCTGCTATGACTGGTGATGGTGTCAATGATGCCCCTGCTCTTAAGAAAGCCGAAATTGGAATTGCAATGGGTTCAGGTACTGCTGTAGCCAAATCGGCCGCCGAAATGGTGTTGGCTGATGATAACTTCTCATCTATTGTATCTGCTGTTGAAGAAGGTCGTGCTATTTATAATAACATGAAACAATTTATTCGTTACCTTATTTCCTCAAATATTGGCGAGGTTGTGTCTATATTTTTAACCGCTGCTTTAGGATTACCCGAAGCTTTGATTCCTGTACAACTATTATGGGTTAATTTGGTAAGTAATTTAAAAAAATTGTAAACTGATGGAATTACTAAATAACCAATGTATGCATATATATACAGGTAACAGATGGTCTTCCAGCAACTGCTCTGGGATTCAATCCCCCTGACTTGGATATTATGGAGAAACCTCCACGCAAAGCTGACGAAGGTCTTATTTCTGGATGGTTGTTCTTCCGGTATTTATTTAAATCTTAATTTTTTTGCCAATATTAAAAATAATCTACCTATAGATACATGGCTATTGGTGGTTATGTTGGTGCTGCCACAGTTGGTGCTGCAGCTTGGTGGTTCATCTTTGCTGAGACAGGCCCTCACTTAACCTACTGGCAACTGACACATCATTTATCTTGTATTGGTACAGGGGATGACTTTAAAGGAGTAGACTGTAAAATATTCAGTGATCCTCATGCAATGACCATGGCTTTATCCGTGCTTGTTACAATTGAAATGTTGAACGCTATGAACAGGTAATAAACAATACCAATATATACAACTAATATTTACTACGTAATTCTTTCTTACGCAGCCTTTCAGAAAATCAATCCCTCATTACTATGCCCCCATGGTGCAATATGTGGCTAATTGGTTCAATGGCTCTTTCCTTTACACTTCATTTTGTTATCCTTTATGTGGATGTCCTTTCTGTAAGTGTCAAGTATAAAATATTCTATATATATATATATATATATATATATCATTATTTTTTTCTTTAAGACCGTTTTCCAAGTGACCCCATTGTCAGGGGAAGAGTGGCTAACTGTGATGAAATTTTCAATTCCTGTAGTTTTATTAGATGAAACGCTGAAATTCGTTGCTAGAAAGATTACTGACGGTGAGAGCCCAATTCTAAAAATGCATGGGATTGTTTTGATGTGGGCCGTTTTCTTTGGCCTCTTGTATGCAATGACGCTTTAAATAGTTGGTTCAAATAACTTACATACATACATAATTCTAGCAAAATTAGATAAAATAACTATTTAATTAAAATTCTATACTAATTTCCATATGACATATACATATATATTTAAACTTTAATGCTTTAGCATTACGCTGCTGAAATTAAGAGCTTGGAGAATGTTATTTTTAAATATTTTAAGGTAATTAAACAAATAACAATATAGTAATGCCTACAATGTTTACTAATTTTTTAAGATCATTAGGGAAAACACTCCAGATTAAATTGCAATAATTAAATGTATGACTAGTTCACAAAATTACTTAACTGGGAAACTGATACATTGAGGCATAATATTCAAAAATCTTTCATTAAAGCCACACGGAATCTCCAAATGTAAATTTTAATTCAATAAGTTATGAAAGTACAAAATATTTCAATTTTTCGTTTGATATTATGTACTTCGCATTTTAATAGTCTGAAAGTCATACAAAATTATTGATTTAAAATCGCATGAACTTGCGATAATTTATTATTAAGGAATTTTTTTTATTCAAGTGAATTTAATTACAATATTTGAGAAAATCGTTCTCAAAGTTCAAATCAAAATTTCTACCGATTAAATAGCAATGTACTTATACTAATAAATTTGTGTTTCTATTATTACATATATATTTTTAATAACTATTTTTGTTACACAGAATTATTCGCTGCTCAAGAGTCTAACTCTGGTTTGCTTTCGAACGTTATTTTGTCGTTGTTGGAAAAACAAATAACTCTTGCCAATAAGGTCTGAAGTGTTGCTAACATTATTAATAAGAGTATATTACCATATCAGATGACCGAACTCCAAATACTTTATATTGTTTGGTTGAGAGAATTGTGTTTTTTTTCAATCTGAAATCGGAGTTAAGCCTTATTTTTTTGTATTTATCGTTATTTTAGGATTTACAATAACCCCGTTCATAAGTTAGACTTACGAATAATTTTCTGAAGGCATATTTTTACGCTGCTTTTAGTGCGTTTCAAGTTGTATAATTTTCAGCTGTCAATGCTGTCTTAACAAAAAGTGCGCCATGTCTGTATGTGCCTATGCTGCTTGCCCAAATTAAAATACTCAATATACAAACCATAATACATATATCATTTTCAATTACACTTTTTAGTCAATCCCACGTTCCACTAAAAAAAAGAGTCTGCTGTATAATATTTCAAATAAGAAAAAGAACAATGACAAATTCATATGTGATGCAATCTGCTTTACCGGTCCTTCAACAATCACGGATGAAAACCATACATTACCCACTATCTATGATTCCTGGCCATTTAACGAGATGCCTTGCTATGGTTTAATAAATATCCCTTTGCATTAAACATTGATTTGTAAAATATTAATTAATTTTATTATGTAAAACGCCACGATTTAAACGACACCCAAATATCAAATACCCAAAAAATTACATTGAAGTTTACTTATACCGTTAAGTTCTATTTACAGCTTCCCATCCACGACATTTTCCGAGGCTTTAAACAATATTAGAAATTTTTAATGTGGAATCGTACATGCTATGCATATATTTCACATTTACGCATTTATATTTATTTATTAATTTGTGAAAAATAATTAATTTTAGTTCCTGACGTCATTATCGATAAATGGTAAGCAGGAGATGACCAGTGCTTTCAAATCCACTCACAAAAAAGCGGAATGCTACACACATCTTAGTCTACAAGTTGAAAATAAAAATATCGATATCCTTAAGATATTAAGAAATTGAAAAAATTATTTGTTTAAAATTAGCAATGTGATTCACGTGGATTGTGCAATAAAAAAAACGTACAACAACCAATTACATCTATTGAATTTTTATTTTATCTAATCATATACACAAATTATACACTAGTATATACATTTAAAAATACAAATTTTCATTACCAAACAAAAAACCTATTTACAATTTATGTTACGTTACATTGGCTTAATATAAACGGGTCTTTAAGAATGTAAACGCATATACTTTTGTTTATTTATTCTTTTTTATGTTTTCTAAGTTGCATTTGCTCAGAAATTCTTGGAACTACTTCAGTAAAGATTAACGTACCGAAAAAAACCAGTCCCGTACCAAGCCAATGATAAATTGTAAACGGATTTTTGAAATATAAAATAGAAAAAAGCAATGATACAAACTTCCTCAATGTTACGACAAGTGTTACTGTTAATGATGCACACTCAGTTGTCAAAATATACACCGATCTTATACATAGATACTGCGTGATAACGTTGCACATTAAATAAAATATCATTTGAGGAATTTCAACATTAAACCCCATCATAGAAATTATTGGTAATGCCATTGGTTCACTATGTGTTGCAATACTGAAATGTTCCCAAATGTTTTTATATATGAAAAGGAAACCAGGTAAGGGAATCAAGTGCTGTAAAAGAACAATAATAATAATTAAGTAACTTATTTTGTCTGTATGAACTTTACCGTAAAGAAGAGAGCTTCTTGAGGATGTTTGCCAAATTTTTTGTACAGAGTTTCTTGACAAATTCCCATATATGCAGATATGAAAAGAGCAATGGAGAGTAAACCTATCCCAAGTATCCATATAAAAAAGTCGGAGTATCCAACATTTACAGTCTCTGTTGGTTCTGTTACAGTGGTACTTTTCTAAATAACAAGAAATAGTATAATTCTTATAAAATAGTAGTAATTATTAAAAAGCGGTGTTCATATAAAAAAAATAGCTTAAGTCGGATAAAAAGTAATAGTAAACTCGATTTAAGATACACGCTAATAGATAAAACAAATGAGTTGTAATTGCGCTGTAAATACTTAAGCATTTTAACTGCCAATAAACTAATTCTGCCTTACCTTCTACTCCATACGACTTCAGAAATGATGACTCATATGAAAAAATTATTTTAAAGTTTTACTTACCACACTACTTCCCGAAATAATTGTACACAACACAATTCCAACGGTTATCATAAAAACGGACAAATACTTGGAGAAAATATAATTCTTTTTCAAAATAAGTATTCCCATTATCATGTTAGCAATAAGTGATCCCTGCAACAATCAATAATTGTATGGTATTCATTAGCTATTAAGCTATTAAAAACTTTACTCACAGCTCTAAATATCATATGTAAAGGCATTGGTATATTGAAGTCAAAAGCAAAGTTGTTGGCCACACTTGTTATAAAAAACATAATTACAAGAAGGGAGTAATTACGCAGAGGTATTTTCGGCACAAAATTGCGAGCCGCAATTGTATGTACTAACCCCTCAAGAGCAATAAACAGAAACTGTGAAAATGTTATGAGATTCCCAGCCCCGGGATCTTCTCTGAAATAGGAGATTAGATACATCAATTATTAAAACGAGGTTATCAAAAATATAAAAGTGTGATTTTAATATATTATGAAACTGATTTAAGGGAATATATTAATTGAAGCTTATAATAACTATAACTTACTTTACGAGATACTCTAGAAATACAACATTGCTACAACATCCCACAAAAACGCATATTACTGCCGTAAGTGCTTTGATGTTCATTTTTTAAGGATCTGAAAGAGAAATGATTAGTAAACTTATATGTTAGTATATCATTATTGCAAACATTGTGAACGTGTGATATTGTTGTATACAACGAATGAAACCAATTTAAATGAAAAACGAAAATGAATATTATTTAGCTTTTATATTATATATAATATTTTTTATATACTTATAACGGACTGAATTAGAGTAAAAGACATATACTACTACTGTTGTTGTTGTTGTAACGGTTACCTAGTCCCCGCTTGATTGATAAGTTATAGTTTGGTTGTCGTCGAGGTCATCTAACGGGAGGCCCAGGAAACGAGCTGTTTCGACGAGGTCGGACCATAGGAAAATGGGTGTTAGATGAGTTGGGTTCGTTGGGCATGCAAAGAGGTGGTTAGAGTCATGCGGAGACTCATTGCACGCAGGACATATATTTTGAATGTCGGGGTCTATTCTGGATAAGTAGGAGTTTAACCTGCAACAATATCCAGGACGAAGTTCCGCGAGGGTCACACTGGTTTCGCGAGGCAACTCGAGCTCTACGTCGCTATGGCATGAACCTAACACTCCTCTCCCTATGGTACGACCCCTACAAAACAGCCCGTTTCCTTAGCCTCCCGTTGGACGATTTCGATGACAACCAACATAAACTTTACCACTTAAGCGATGATTAGATAACCGCTACAACAACTCAATATACATATGTGTGTATATCCGTTCGCTGACAATTTGTATGTCGAACTTTTAAATATTATTGCACCTCATTGTTATTAAACTGTTTATTCAACTTGTTAAGCACGTCATGTAATTCTCATACAATGTGTTCATAAATTCGGTCGCCACAACACGAAAATTTTCCTTTAAATTATTTACGTATTCATCTCTTGAATAATTAAAAAACAAAGTTACTGAAACGTATTATTTTGCTACAACTGTAGTAAAAATTACATAATTTACTAGTTGAAATAAACCGTTTAAAAAGAGGACCAAAATACTTTTAAATCAAAATGTATTCGTCCACGTCTCACCTGAAGTAAAAAAATTAAATAATTTTAATAAGAATTTCGACGATTCATCTACCTTATCTTTATCATTTGCATGGATGCCATATTTTGTTAATACTGTTGGTGTTAATTTAATAAAATAACAAAGATTGTTACTGTTTGTTTAATTCTAAGTTTATCTATCCATTTTTTTCACAGTCAATTTAATTCTGTGGCCCGTAACTGATTTTCGTTTCATATTTCCCCACGAATGAGAGCTAGTTCATACAAGAAAATTTTTCTTGTTAAAGAGCTACTATATAAGGGTTGCCAGACTGTGCCGCAGACGGGTAGGTTTTGACGTATCGCAATTGGAACGACTTGAAACTCTACCAAAAATATATGTGAACGGAGGTATTTGCTGCCGCCGTCCAAGATCACTAATAAAAAATTTAAAAGCTTGAAAATTAAAGAAAACACAAATTATAAATGTATTTGATGAAATGTTTTGTAATGTGATGCATCATACTATTAATTTTCAATTGAAAATTATTAAAAACAATTATTAATTGAGAGATAACATACTTAAATCTATTTATTAAGTATTGGAAGTTCAAAAGTCAGTTGGTTTAATATACCATAAAATCATACAAAAATATTTAAATAGTTTCTCCATATATTAAAAGTCCAATATATATATAATAATTTTTAATCGTAATAAATGTTGGGTGTTTTAATTTAAATGCCCACAAATTATTATTTTATCCGATCTGGCTACAATGGAAAATGTTATGAAAAACGTAAATTTTGAGGCGCTCTCACACCGGAATAAGTTCGGCATCCCTTTACACCTGCCTGTAGTAAAGCTTATCTCTGGTAAAGCGAAATCACTGTTTTTTGGGCACAGATATTTAAATAAAAGCATATTATAATACAGTAACATAAAGTAGGTTTATAAAATGTCCTGAATGCTATGAACCTGCGATATTAGATTGGTTCTATTTTTATTAAATTCGTATACATGTGAAGATTAACTAAAAAAAAAATATGGATTACAAACTGATGGAGCATTAAGTTTGCTACAAAGTTTATAACCAGCATATGTTAGACTCTATAAAAAATATATATAAATGATCGGCATGACGAGCCGATGGCTAAATCCGGCCGTCTGTCTGTAAATTTTGCATACGTCCTTTTCTCCCCAAGAAGCTGTTCATTTGTCGGAAACGCCGATGTCGTATATGTCATACAAACTGAACCAAGTGCTTGCATGGAACTTTTTATTAAGGTATCTTCAAGAAATTCGGTACGAATTATTTTCTAAGTCAACGCCACATTTCTTATATGAAAAACTTTATCATTTGACTCTCGTCGTGTATTCATAAAATTTAGCGTGGGTTATTGTCCAAGACAATAGTGGAATGTCCGAAGAAATGGTCAGACAACTAGAATATAGCTGCAATACAAACTGAACGATCAAAATGAAATTCTTGTGTTTTTTCTTGATCAACATCAACTTTTTGTCCACAAATGTAGGCCAAGCAAAATAAATAAAAATTGGCCCGGTTTCGTCTTAAGTACTACACACTTCGGAAACTATGCTTAAAACAAACAAATGTTTCACAAATTAATCGTTTTTTTTAATGAACTTTTATTGAAGTTATATAGTACGCTGTATTACCGCAAACAACTGATAAAGATAAATTTACAACTTCAATTTTGTGCGCCTCCAGTGGCGTCTCTTCGCATTGTATCTATAAGTAGAACAGAAACATTTTAATTTTGTCTTCACAAAAAATTTGGTTTGAAAACTTTTACCTAATAGTATTTCCCGTACGTAAACGTATCCATTGAGGAACCGAACGATTCTGCTTAAGCTTTTTAGCAAGCTTTTGTTTAATCCTGAAAGATTTATGCGCCGCCTAAAACAATACAGAATTAATAACTCATGTGCATACATTTATTTTATAAATGTAAATAGATGTACGAAATTTAAACGGATTGATCACTAACCATTCTGTGCACTTTGCCTTACAAGTAGGAAAAGAACGGAAGTAGAAATTAGTGGTGAGAAGTGTAGATTTACAGCAATTTTTTTATCGATAATTTAGTACTGCCAGATCGCTTATATATATTTTTTTCATATTGACGTGGGTTAAGGTTGCCATTCATTCGATCGGTTTGTGCGCAAGTAAGTAAAAAAAAAGTTATTGAATATATAATTAGTATATTATTTAGTTCTAGTTGGATTGAAATATATTCTTATTTTTGGGTTACTAGTTTATTGTTACATAAAATCATCAGAGTCATTTCCATCATCATAATTACTAGACATACACTCAGGCTTAAACAATTTATCATAACTACGTTGTTCTGCTTCCGTCTTTTGGCGCATTATTTCTTCTTCCTCCTTTTCCCGCTGGGCTTTTAAAATATGCTTCTTCTCCCTTCTCTCCTCGGAGTCTCTTTCTTCTCTTTGACGACGCAAATCTAGCTGGTCTTCAGTTTTCGTTTTATTCAGTCGGTTAACAATTTCATTTACCCTTTTTTCAACACGGATTTTTTTCACGCTCTTTTCGCAATAAAATCCTATTTGGCCAACTTCCATATCAGCTGTTTTCTTGAGGTTCGACCATAATGTATAAACGACATCTATATTGTTCATCTTATTTCCTTGAATGCTGTTATATTTTACCAATTGAGCTGCGTCATTGAGAACAGATTGCGGAATATCATCTATAGTTTGGCCCTACAAAAAAAACGAACCATATATTAAGATGTGCTGATCTTCCGAAATTAATTTTAAATCCAAAATATACTAAATATTCGAAATTTTTATGATGTTTGATGCTCCAGAAAAATATTCTAACATAAATTGTTTTGAACCGGCTTTTTATTAAAAAATTAACCCTGGTCGGTTCAACACCGGGTTTTTCAAGTGAAGAAAAAAAATTTATTATTGTCCATCAACGATTACTGTTCCTGTTTTTCGGGTATAATCTTTCTTTTTATTTAGTTTTTTCATTTGGAAAATATATTAGTATGGTAACACTGGTTATTTGTCATTTTGCAACCCTTTTATTATTGTGTAAATTATTAGAATTGAACAACAAGTTTAATATTGAATTAAAGCTATTCTTGCACTATATAATGTAAAATAAACAGGTACAAACGAATTAGGGAAGTGGAAATAACAGTAAAAAATATAAGTGAAAAATTAATTTTAAATCTAAAAATACGTACTTTAAATATTTGAAAGTTTCAAATTTACACTCGAATATTTCAAAAACTATTAGTTTTCGGTTGCTATCTTTATATATTCTTGATCTGGACGACGTCCTCTATCCGCCCATACCAATTTTATCTCAGAAATCCTGGGACGTGTTCTAAAGCCGAAAGTCAAGCAATCATATCTTCCAAAATAATTTTTTTTTACAAACCGTAAAAAAATTGATATATTTTTTAATAATTAATAACATATGTGTTTTCTAATACCATTCGACTTATGCGTGAAAGCGTAACAAACATACCTAGATTCACATTTATCATATTATATGGTATATAGTATAATATTAGTATGGATTTTTAGGTTTTTTATTAAGAATTTGTTTTCACCGACAGTTTCATTTTAAAGGCCAAGCACTAATGTATCCCTATGTTGACGTACACTGGACCTTTGATTAACCCGGACGTTACACGATCAAGAAATTGCTTTCGAGTTGATCACACAAACTCATTGTGAACATTTATTTAAATTGACAACTGTGACTAAAGCTGCAAGCAACTTGACCACGTATGGCGCTTATGTTTGATTTGAATTAACACTCAGCGAAATTTTATATTAATGTGAATATATCTTGAATTGGTGATTATCTGATTACGTTTGCTAACTGTGCACACTGAAATTATGAGAATTATATAGGAATTGAGCATTGAAAGGCTACTTATTATCCCTATTTTATTGTTTTTATATATGACAATTTGTAAATAATAATTATTATTTATTTCATATATACATAATATAAAATAATTTTTACCACATTTGAAAAATGAGAATAGTTTTCAAAGAAGAAAGTATACCTCTTGGAGTCTTAAGTACACATGAGCAGAAGAATAGTTGTGAACATGAAACCAAACATCTTCTGGCCATCCCCAGCGTATAAGTTCTTCATCTGTAAGAGAAAGGTTTAATAACAGAGTTTTTATATGTGGCGCAATAATTTTCTTATAATTTTTTGATAGTGTCACAATAATTCTTAATAAGACACTTTTTTTAAAACAAAAATAATTTATTCATCCAATTTCTTGGATCACAGACATAGGCATACGATTACACATACATAAGTATCTGCTGCCAGAAGAGAAAATATATATACATACGTTTTTATCGTTCAGTTTGAACACCTTATAACAGGATCATTACCAAATACAAAGCATAAATTGTTTACCAACATAGGCTGTGCGCCAAACGAAAGGAAAATTAAAATTCTGACAGATAAAAGTGACCAGGTCGCAGCCTAGGTAAAATTTTGACCACTCATCAATATGAATACAGATATAAACGAATTTTAAATAACCGCTGCATACATAATAAGTATGTTATTAAATATGTTACTAATTCATATTTATTTATTGTTTTCAATACAGAAATTATACTTCAAATAAGGAAAGAATCCTATTGAAATTTTGTTTTTTATTGCAAATTAAAATTAAGATGAAAGAATTAAGAAAAAATACAATTTTTGTAGTTGATTAAAAGTTCTTAACGTAAATGTATTCGTCCTAAAATTCTCAATTAGTATCAAATCTCTAAATTAATGAATTTTTTCTAGTTTCATTAATATTGATTTTAGCAAAACAAATTTGTATAGTTTAGGTCCCCCAACAAAGGAGGGATCAAAAATTAATTTTTTTGTAACAGGCACGCTTACGTTTTCTTTTGCGCCGCGATCTGATTGTATGGACGAATATCAGCACTCGAATGAATTTTGAACACCCCGGTTTTGGACTGACCAGGGTTATTTTTTTGAAGCGCGGCTGAAGGGCGACAGCGCAGAAAGAAGTTACCACGCGAAAGAACATGTGTAAAGTGTGTTAATTTTTTTTCATTAATTTTTTAATAAATAATAGTTATTATTATTACTAAAAAATCGACTTTCCGCTCACGGATTTGCAATCCTGCGTCAAAAACCTCCCAAAAAAAAAATTATAATTTTTACATTTGTTTATACCATAAGACATTTTTTCACCCCAACTCAACACAGATAAAAATGTTATCGTTTAGCACTCAGCCAGCCATATCAGAAAACAGAAACATAACAAGATATTACTTCTTCGACTATAGCGTCGATTTATTACTATAATCAATTGGATATTCCCATCGCTAGTGATAAAACAATGTATTTTCTTTTGAAATAATTATTTTACACAGTATTAATACATACATATGTACGTATACAAAATTAATTATAAATATAATTCAGTATCACATCATTGTTCATGTAATTACTTTCGTACTTATCCTTTCCCATGTAAATTAAAGCTGGGGGCGACACAATATTGCTTTTAAAGTAGAAAACCATCTTTATTTATCATTTACTCTTGTTGCAGACTAAACCTCACTGATTTATAGTATGGAACTTTTGATTCATATTTCACATTGTTATAATTAAAGTTATTGTGGTATAGCACTTTCCAATCCCAAACCTACTAAACAGTTGAAATTCAGAAATACAGATTGATTCAAACATTCAGAAAAGCATATCGTCTTTTAAGGCACATTCACATACAACTTTCCTGGCTTTACGTGACAGTTTATACTGAAACAACGAAGCATAGAAAACAAAGGGTATGCCACAAGGAACGCTTTGCTTTCAGCGTTGTCTCTAATAAAAATGGCGACCGTTGCTTGGCAAAGCCAACATTTTGCTTGGCTTCGCGTCTAAAACTTTTTATGTGAATGTACTCATATAAAAGAGTACATGAATTTTTCTGTCAAAACAAATGTCTGACGTAAAGCGAAGCAAAAGTTCTATGTGAATGGCCATAAGGGCCCTAGTTCGAGTTATGCCATTTAAGTTATAAAAATTCCTCGAAAGTGAAGTTATAAAAACATTTAAGAAACCTCTGTTTATTTTGATACATGTATAGAGTGGTCCTGTTCTTAGTATCAGTATAGTGCCCATAATATTTTCAGTCTCTCTTTCAAGCGGTTACTGTTTTGTGTTGGAGGCACCCTATATATTCTAAAACCATAATATAGTCTATTAAATTGCTTGTTATTAATTTGGATATAGTTTTCAGTGGAATAAATCAAAATCGTTTCTGATACAGGATAATTTTTTGGTCAATTAAAGTACTTAAGTCTGATTTCTTTTTGAATGTATTTTTTGCAAAAAAGTATTAGTTTAAAAATAACTATTGACCAGTGGAAAACTATTTGAAAAAAAATTGATTTTGTAAATAGTAATATGAGAAGTTTATGAACTATTTTTAAATAAAATAAGTTATTATTAAAGGTGAAATAAACATTAATCAAACTTAAAAGCGTAAAACAGTGGTATTAGTGTAACCCTTATATCAAAGAAATAATTTGTTCAAAAGTGAAAAATCAATAATCTTACGCAAAAACGGGCTGGATACTTTACCACACCCGTAATACAAAAAATACAAAAGACACCCACAACATGACGTGATTGGTAAGCAAAATATTAATATTAATAAAGTAATTGTTATTAATTTAAATATATTGTATTGTAAATATCATATGTTTCTTCGGATTAAAAATGTTGAGAACTGTTTGTATAAAAGTTGTATATATTACACTTATACTTTCTCAACATTTGAATTAAATAATAATAATAAAAAAGTGGTAGTTATCAATCAAAAAAATTAAAGGTTGACTTAAAAATAATTTTATTGGACAAAAATAAAATTTAAGATTTTTATAAAGAGACCATATTATTATTTACTTAATTGACATCATTAAAAATACTACTAAAAGTAACGTTATCAAACATAATGTAATCAACAATTCGACTAGGCTATTGGTAGTCATATAAATTGTAATTTGAGATGCATACTGATTGCTAAGTTAAAGTTTGTAACCTTAGAGGACATTATTGTAAATATTGTTGAAATCTGCAGTACTATTTGGAACATATACCGGGAGGCAGACTATAATTTTTTGTTGTCGTTGTTGTAGCGGCAGAATTCTGCCGAGTTGATAGTCCTTGGCCGAATAAAAATCCTGATCCGTTTCGTAGACCTCACTGTCTTAGGATCGGGACTATAATTTGTTTTTACCTCTGCTGAACAGAGCTTGAAGAAGCGTTTTTGATTTCACGAAAATCAAATAAATTTAAATATATACCTTAAAGAAAGTAAAATTCCACCATAGATTCAGAGGAAGGTAAGTTGTTGCTTTGTCATGTTTATTTTCGAACATTAAATAGTCTATTACTGATTTATTTACAAATGTGAATTCATTTAATTAATAATTTTTCCATGAATGCGAAATATGTATTTAATATTAAAAAAAATGAAAGTTATTAATTTAAATACATATTTGATTTGCTGAACTTTTGTATGTTTACATAGTATCTGTAGCTTTTATCATTAAAAATGTATAAAGTAAGAAATTTGTATCTATTATGATTTCATGCAATAGCAGCTGATATATTGTAGTTTGTATCATAATATTATTTATACTATAAACATAAATTTTTAAACTGTTTTTTTTTTTGTAAATTCACTTTCAGATTAAATTTGCTTTCTTGTCCTAAAAAAAAGTAAAAATGGATGGTCCTGCGTTTAATGAAGCTGAATTAAATTGCCAATATACAGCTCTACAAGATTATGAGCAATATCAACCAAGATTCACCAACTCTTCAATCTACGTTACCAAGTCTCCTGAGTTGGCGGTTTCAAGAGCCGCTGGTCAATGTTCGTACGGATCGGATCACAATACAGCAAGTTTAATCGGACCTCAAGTTCAACTTGCTACTTCACAAGATCAAAATGAGTCTGTTATTCAAGAACGTTCTTCAGTTTCCACTGTAAGATATATGCAAGCAGCACAGTATGACGAATTACCTGATTATGGTATTAATGCTTGCCCTGTTGAGTCGCACTATATTGAGAACCCCACCATTGCTTATGGATATGTGTCAGAAGTTAATTTTGACTATCCGATTGAAGCTAGCAACACCAACTCGTACTCACCAAGGCCATTGTTATTTGATAGCAACCTTAATGGTTCAGAATCAGCTCTTCCTTCGGATGGAACAAGAGCATATGAAGGTCATACTGATTATCAGAGCAAAATGGCACAACTTACTCTAACTCCAATGGATTCGGTTTCACACATAAGAGATCCAAAACATATGCTAATGGAAGGCTCGGGAAGTGACATATGTTCTACAATGAGATGGCGTGATCCAAATCTGTCAGAAGTTATAAGCTTTTTAAATAACCCAAATAACGAAATTAAAGCAAATGCAGCTGCATATTTACAACACTTATGCTATATGGATGATCCAAATAAGCAGCGAACTCGAACATTAGGTGGGATACCACCTCTTGTGCGTCTGTTATCATACGATGTACCAGAGATCCACAAGTAAGATAGTCAAGTGAAAATAAATAAGAGCATTTATATCTTTTTATATGTAATTATAAAAAAATATTTATATATTCATGTATTTCAAAAAGTAGAATTAAAACTAATACATTCTCTATAAGGTGTATCGATAAAAAAACTGGTAGATCTCATACTGACTTTTTCAGCTAAATTTTATATACTGAGGTTGATGTAAATGTAAAAAAAGAATTAGAGAGAAAAAAGGTCACAGTTGTTTTTATTTAATACTGTAAATGATTAATGTTATTAAATTTAAAACTAATGTAAAACCCACAACGCACTTTATTCTAATTGTAATACTTTTATTTTTTAAGGAACGCATGTGGTGCGCTTAGAAATTTATCCTACGGAAGACAAAATGACGAAAATAAACGAGCTATTAAAAATGCGGGCGGTATAACAGCCCTCGTAAATTTGCTGTGTAGAACACAAGAATCGGAGGTAAAGGAATTGGTCACTGGAGTTTTGTGGAATATGTCATCTTGTGAAGACATCAAACGCTCAATTATTGACGAAGGCTTGAACGCAATTGTTAGTAATATTATTATTCCCCACTCTGGCTGGGATGCGGTTTGTGCGGGAGAAACATGCTACTCTACAGTTTTTCGAAACGCTTCGGGAGTTCTACGTAATGTCAGCTCTGCTGGAGAGTTTGCCAGAACCAGTCTTAGAAACTCTGAACATCTAGTGGAGTGTTTAATATATGTTGTGAAAATGGCTATAGAAAAGAATAACATTGGAAATAAAACGGTAGAAAATTGTGTATGTATTTTACGCAATTTGTCTTATCGATGTCAAGAAGTTGAGGATCCTAATTACGATAAACAGCCAATGCCAATTCAAAGCCGACCATCAACCAACTCATATAAAGGTAAACATTTAACATGCCCAAAATAAAGGTAACTTCAAACTGTATCATTTTAGCATTGATTAGTAATAGTTCACTATTTAGGATAGAGTTTTTATACAAAATTTTACATATCCAATATACATAATTATTTTCCTAAAAAATATACAAATGGAAATGGATACACAAATATAATATATTTATATATTATTATTTCAAGGAGAAAATCTTGGCTGTTTTGGGACAAGTAAAAAGAAAAAGGAAGCTGCTCAAAGTGAACATCAGATGGAAAATAATTATACGCCCAGTACATCAAAAAATTCTGTACCCAATAGTTTATCACACAAACGATATGAGCTTTTATGGCAACCCGAGGTTGTGCAGTACTATTTAGCTTTATTGCAAAGTTGCTCTAATCCGGAAACTTTAGAAGCGGCTGCAGGAGCTATTCAGAATCTTTCTGCATGTTATTGGCAGCCAAGTATTGATATTCGGGCTACGGTTCGCAAGGAAAAAGGATTACCTATATTGGTAGAACTTCTTCGTATGGAAGTTGATCGGGTAGTTTGCGCCGTGGCAACAGCTTTACGAAATCTTGCCATAGATCAACGGAACAAAGAGCTTATCGGAAAGTATGCTATGCGAGATTTAGTCCAAAAACTCCCAACTGGAAATCCACAGCACGATCAAAATACCTCCGACGATACCATTACCGCAGTGTTAGCCACAGTTAATGAAGTAATAAAGAAAAATCCAGAATTTTCTCGGTCTTTGCTGGACGCTGGTGGTGTTGATCGTTTGTTAAGCATTACAAAGCAACGTCAAAAATATACTTCTTGCGTATTAAAGTTCGCCGGTCAGGTTTTGTTCACAATGTGGCAACATCATGAGTTACGTGATGTTTATAAAAAAAATGGGTGGAAAGAGCAAGACTTTGTTTCAAAATCATTTACAGCTCATAACATTTCTCCAAACTCACCCAATAATGTAAACAACACTCTTAATAGACCTATGGCATCTCAAGGCCGAACAAGGTATGAAGATCGAACGATACAAAGGACTCAAAATAATGCGACTCGTAATACTACAGGAAATGATTTTGCAGGCTGCAATGAGTCACCACTGCTTTGCCAAATGGTGAGTTAATAGCAATTATTGAGCAACTAACAATGATTGATAATGTTTCTCATTTTAGACCGACGACGCATCTAGCAATGGTGTAGGTAATGAATCTTATCAACGGAGAAATCAAAACCCTCAAACAGCTATGTATATACCAATAATGGAAGTTGGACGAAATCATTCCAATTGAGAAATTATATCTTTTAAATACTTTTCATATTTCATAAATATAATAAAATGCACTTACAAATATGTTTCAATAGATACTATATCGATACCTCAGGGTGCATCTGCTTTAAGTTAAATTTATTTATTTGCCCAAGTTTTGCAGAAGATTCGTGATTTCATTTGCCGTGGAACCTATACGACAACTTTGTCCAAACCATTACACAATAAACACAATATATATGTACATGCATGTGACTTGTGTGTATAATGTGCAGACCAGCTCAAGTATTATAATATACGAGTATAAAAACAAATTATTAAAATACGCCTACTTAACACATTTGTGCACTGAAATATCGATATTCTATAAATGTATACTAAAGCTAGTTTACAATATAAAAGGGGTATAAAAACACATGGTATATTTACCAATGCATCTAAATAAAATTTACATTCCGAAACGCGTTTAATACGTATGCATATACCATAATAAAATTTCTTGGTAGTAACTATCGCTTTTTATTTTAAAACCAAAAAGTTTTAGACGTTTGAACATGTAGTATGAATATAGTATTAATGATTGGTTTGACTTTCAGAACGACTGCAGGAGAGTTTTGAGATAAATATGCAATATATATATATACTCGTACACTGATATATGGTTTCACTCTATGTAATAGAGTGATCTGGAATTATTTTTATTAAGGTTTGTATAATGTAATTATCATAAAATTCATATCGATAACAAATTTGTAATTATCGTACTTTATTTAAATAATGATTTCATTATGTCCAATCTACTTCCTCGAGTATGAATATGCCAATTACTTCTTTGTTGTCTTTCTGTAAATTAAAATAGTTCATGAGTTAAAGATAATTTAAACCAAATTTTTGAATACTTTTTATATCGAGCGAGAATTTCATGTTTAAACATCTCAAAACGCTTTCGATTCTGATTATTTTGCTGTTCGCGCCAAACAGGTCTCGCTTTTTTTTGTTGTAGTCCCCAATGACAAGTAAAAACAGGGGATAACACAAAAAATGTGTAGCCAGAAATATACATTTCATAGACCTGAAATAAAATAATATAAACCGGGAATGAGTTATATTAATAGTTTAGTATAATACTGTACCCACGTAAATGTCTCACCTGTGAATTTCGGGTAAAGCCGTAGCCTATAAATCTTTCATCATGTGCAGGGACATCATCAAAAGCGACATAAAAAGGTTCATACAAGAACTCAAAATTTGTTACGACATGACTTATATGAGCCCGCTCATCTTCATTGGAAGAATTCGTAAGCCAAATGGAGAAGTTTGTCGCGTACTGGTTATAAATAAACACTTTTTCGTGAAATGGGCGTGCCAGACCTTTTCTATATAAACGCATAAGCTCCGGCTTGGAAGCAGGGAATTTAGCTCTGTTATCTATTTCAAAGGTTGGTATTACATACGCGCAACGATAGCTGCATTTTGCTGATGGCAGAAATTTATTTAATAGTGATACCATATTTGTGCTTGGTATTATATCAATATCTGTTAGAAATACATATTTATTTTGACATCCTTTTCGAGCTAAATTGCGTAAATGATTTTGCGGATATTCATTTTTTAAACGCCAACGTATTGTGTCCGGATTGCGTATTTTCAGTAAATGGCGAAGCGTTTGTTCAGGGTATTGACAATCAAAGCTGTTGAAGAGATGAGGGATTTGTGCGTGAACTGGTTCCTTATTATTAGGAACAGCAATATGAAAAGTCACGTTATCGCGTATAAATGAGAAACAAAGTCTCATATATGTCACAAAGTGTTGTAAAATGAAGAATTCTTCATCTCCGGCAACGTAGACGGCGGTTGAAATTGGCCCGTTCCATTGATGTGCAACTTGTGTCAATGAATACAACCGTTCCACAGAGCTTTGGGTAGCTAAACATACAATGTTTTCGTGTGAGGATTTGATAAATTTATCTCCAATCAACGCAAAATCATACATCTTATAATGACGAAGATTGTCCCATCTACCAGTTTCGAAACTTATATTGTCGAAAGCGAGCCTAAAATTATGCTTCGAAATTTTCTGTAATAATGATCGATTGAGCGGTGGCATGGTGGCATCGTTGACACTTTCTATTGCAACCAATGGCTTTGTATATCTGTTATACGTCTTATTGATTCGTTGCGAATTTATTTCCGTTTCCAGTAAACAAAATGTCCACAGTAGATTAATTGCAGTTAAAAATATTGTTAATATGAATAAAACCCAGCGTCTAAATCGCACAAATTTCCTCTGTAATAATGCACATACAATCAAAATCTTAATTTTTTAAAGGCATTTATAAATGTAAATCACCATTCTTGTAAATTTCCACAATAAACATATAAGTATTTATTTATTATTCCTAGGAATGGGAATTTCACACATCTGCATTTTGCAAAAATCGATTACAATTAGACATTACCATTTTTATTGAATCGAATTACGATTTCGCTACACTATTAATGCTGCACTTATGTATGTATGTATATTTGTGCGCAAATTAGCATTAAAATACTGTAAATTTATTTAATATAACTAATAATACTAAATTCGAAAATAATAATATCGAAAAGTATTATTCCTTAATTTGTTGTACTTCCTGTACGAAAAAAACTTTAATCGATGTTACGGTACTTTTCTCCATCACCGAAATTGAGCGTATGAATTTATAAAGAGAGTAGTGCATAAATGTTGTAGGTCCGGACAGAACGGAATAACGTATGACAAACTGCAACAGAAATTTTCTATGAGAGAAAAAACTTGTATGCCATGTTTCTTTTCTGACGATAAAAATACACAGAACAAGAATGGAAGGGCTATGTCAGAGTTTAACGGAACATATATTCAAAATTTAAAAGGGTCAAAGCCTGGCCAATACTTTCAGGTATTGACAAAACTTTATATTAAAAACTCAACGTAAAGATCTGAACTCATTGTAATAACTTTTGGCATTAAACTAATGAAGATTTGAAAACACGTATTCACTAAATTTTGTCAAGATATTTTACATAGTGACTGATATATAGGGTATAAATTCAGCCGGAAGTTTGCAATTGAACCGGAAGCATATGGAGGCTAGGCTAAGTGTTTTTGGAAAAATTACCCGTTATTATTAGGAAAATAAGCCATCTGAATTTCATTAAGATACCGCACAGATATGGTACATGATATAAAGTCAAGCATTATTAAAAAATATTTATATTAAGTGTAAGAGGGCTATGACAAATGTGCCATTTATTGTAGCATGATCGTTGATGGTGATGAGGTGCGCGCATGCACCCAGAATTTGGTGCCGTGATCTACCGAACTTGGTGGTGACTGCATTCATATTACTCGGTTGGATATCGCAGTGTGCCTCTCCACCTGCATGGAGCTCTCTTACACAAGAGCTTCTCGATGTTAGCCGCAAAAATGTGGCTCCTAGAGAAGGTGTGTAATTTTGAAGTGTGTGAGCTTCCCTGTCACACTATGCTACGACACTAACTATTATCCGTATTATCAAATTATGACAGAAAAAATGTGATTTTATTACAAACGGACTTAATTCTAGGGCACTTAATAATATAATTGCGTTAGTGGATTGGGGTACTTTTACGTACCTAAGATCCCCTATGAGAGTGTTTGCGGGTTTCTCCTTATCCAGAATATTTGGGCTTAGGATGTTAACTTTCACAAGCGCTAGCCATATGAAATTTTGTAACATCATCTTTAGCTTTCTATATAGCTAGTTGTGTATCAGATAAATTGTTGGTTAGAATAGTCGAGAACGTGTGTGAGTTCAGTGATCGCCTTAGCTATCGGGAAAAGTCTATGAGTCCTCCCTTTAGATCCTCAATAGTTTCCGAGGGAACATGCAACACGATAACAAATTTGGAGCATTTGTCATTGAAAGTAAGGAAAAATTTCTTGTCAGTGGAGAAAATGTCTATGTGCAACATTTCCCCTATGAGCGAAGGGGTTGGTTGGCCGTGTCGATGAGGACGCTGTCCCCTAAACTGTTGGGTGACTGGCGGCAGGGACCTGCCACTAAAAAATTATGACAACTGAGTCGTAATTCCTACTAGCATCGTCTTTAATTTGTGCTTCTGTTCTAGAGGCGGCACTGGAATACGACTTCGCCCCTTGTCCCGAGTCCTACTTGTTGGTCGTGGTAATTCGCGGGCAAATTTAATCAATAATTTTTTTCTAGGCACAGCGTTTTTTAACAAATGCTCGTGTGAAGTTTGATCTCCACATATGAATTAGTTTGCGTTTGGCAGCTGTTTGTTTATTACGCGAAAAGTTTGTTTGGCGAAATTCACCATTGTGTTTTATGCTAGCTGTCACCGTTTGCAGGCCTTAAGTTCTCAATTAATAAAAATATTCAATTGAATGTAAATAACCAAAAAAATATTCAGATAAAGATCAAGTAAAGTTCTATATAATCAAAAAATATTAGGGTTCTTCGTTATTTATTTTGTTCTCAAATACGCACAATCATACAGAAGGCACTAATATACATAAATACTTGGCGACAACTTTTGCATTATGCGTACATATATACTTTTGTTGTCATATATTACAAAAATTCTAAATATAGAGTATGTATTCGGAAATGATTGTGTATATACATATTTTATTAATGCAAGTCAATCAATAGCTTATTTCTACAATTTTCTTACAAATTATTGATACACGGTAACATTTAGAAGAACAGTATCAAAAAGTCATTGAATGAATTGAACAAATAAATATGTGATATTTAAATATAAACATCTCTATATATACACATTTTTTAAAATTTATTTAAAAATTAATAAATAAATAATGAATTGAACTTCGTCCTCGATGTAAACTAATTTGTAGCGCGAGTTTTCGTTTAAAAAGATCGATTAGTTATTTTTGTCGGTTTTTCATTATATAATACCTACTTCGTGCTGAAAATTATAGTCATTTCGTTAAGTTCGATTTTAATTATAGTTAGTTTTTATATGTATACACAATAATATTGTACATATATTTAAATACACACACACATGTATATATACATAATATTATATTAATATGCATGCATATATTTATTTATTTATGTGTGTATATAAATATATATGGAAAAGTACTTTATGTCATTGTGAGGGTGCCTGCACCGAGACCGAAACCAACACCTTTGGGCCCGAAATTGCGACCATAGCATGCTCTACAATAAATATCACCGTCCGGACCATCATTTAAATTGGTTGAATCAAGAGATTTCCTGCATTCAGCGCAATGGAAGCAACGTTTGTGCCAAATTCTGCTTTTGCTAATCATTTGCTCAGCGGCAAAAACCGCGTATCCGCAACGCGGACAACCTCCTGATGAACGAGGCCCGGTTAACGGCTTACCTTCAGGGCTGAAATAAAATATATACATATATATTGTACATATATATTTCTATAATTCTGTCAGAAATTTCATTTGTTTCATTGTGTATATAAAAAGAGACTTAAATTAATGTTATTGACTTACAAATGAATTGTGGATTCACCGGAAGTTGACACCAGCGTTGGGGCGTGTCCATAACCAAAACCTTTAGGACCGAAACGTTTTCCATAACAAGCTTTACAGTAAATATCCTTGTCTGGCCCATCGCAAGCAAGCATCGAGTCTAATGGTCGGTGACATTCAGTGCAGTTGTAGCACTTTTTATGCCACATACGGCCCTTAGAAAGTTGTTGCTCCGCGGCAAAAACGGCGCCACCACAACGTGGGCAACCTTCACCTTCAGGTGCTTTGATTGACGTGGTGTCAGGGCATACAAAAGGACGCTGAGCAGAAATTTGTTCATCACTGAAAATTGTATAGTTAAATTCTTCATGGTTATAAATCCAACAATGTTACTAACGTCATGCCATCAGTTTGCAAAAATCCTGATCCACATGCAAATCCATAGCCATGAGGACCCCATTTTTTTCCATAGCAAGTCTTACAATAAACTTCTTTGTCGGGTCCGTCACATGCAATGATAGAATCCAACGTCTTAGTGCAATCTCTGCATTTGAAACACTTCCTATGCCATTCGCGTCCCTTCGAGAGTACCAACTCAGCGGCAAAGACAACACCACCACATCGTGGGCAACCTTCACCGGCACGTGCTTGTATCTTTCCAACATCTATATCTGCCACCTTTGGAGCCATATCGCTGTAAGACATTTACATACATACATAAAAATTTATAATTAAAGAAGAAAAAAAGATGTAAAAATTAAATATAGTAAATTTATTAATAAGGTTATCTAGACATTTTTAAAAAGAACATTAATCAGGTTTTAATTCACATGTTCTAGACTTTAATTGTTTTTTTAGAATTATTTTAACTTTTCATCAGTTGAAGCAAGTGCTGCTTAGGTTATCATCTTTTTCTTTTAATCCATCGAATGTACTACGTTTATTAAGTGTAAACTTAAAAACTTTTTACTATAACTTTTATTGGTAATATTTTAATTTTTTTTTTGTATAATTGACATAAAATTAGACATGTAGGCATGTATACCTTTGCCACTCGGCGTCTCTTATGTCAGACATAAGTCCCATAGAAGAAATTCCTAAATGACCATAACCCCTGGCGCCAAACTTCTGAGCATAACACCCTGTATTTATTATAATATCAAAAACAAATATTGATAAATTTACATTACGAAGTTTTGGAAAACAACACTAAAATGCATTTGTACTTATACATATATAGATGTTACCCCCACACATTAACTTGTACTCATTCTGATGTATACTAACATACATATATAGATACATATACTTGTAAGTATCACATCAAATGCTAGCATGCTGTTAAAAACTTACCCATTTTCATAGCAATCGGACTGAAGTGCTCCACCACCTTGACCATATCCATAGCCTTTAGGTCCGAATTTCTTCGCATAACAAGCTAATTTTGTACAAGGGAAAACACGAAATTTGGGCGGAATGTAAATGTACATACGAGTATATATGTAATTTATATTTGAGGCTTGCTTAACAATTTGTCCAGCTAAATACATTCAAAGAGTTTGTATTGTAGTATAAGAACAGAATTAGAAGTAGTAGCCTAAAATGCTTGATATTTTTACAATAACATACGGGAAGTCTGCTTTAAAGCAAACTCTAAGAAGGATCAGTGCTGAACGTCTCTACAGGCGCCCCTGTACGTTAACGCGGAAACGTTATGTAAAGGAAACAATATATGAGCATTGCTCCAGAGTTGCTGAATTAGTAACTAATTCTTGTAGTTGTGATGGCATGGTGCTGCCAAATATTATAAGAAAAAAATGCTCAAATTAGAGTCTTTACTGTTAAAAATTCTTTTCTGTTACACGGGCCTGACTTTCGTTAGAATGCGTAACACTTTTATCTCTTACAATCGAATGAGGAAATCTTTATACATTAGCAGTTAAAACTGTGCACAGTTATTTCTGATAAGTCAAAAATTGTAATTTGAATGTATGTATATAGCTGGAGAAATGAGAAAGGTCACCATGTTTTTTGTTTGAATATATTTGTGAATATTTTTATGCAATATTATTTAAATAATACCTTTGCAGTAAATATTTTTGTCTGGACCTTCGCAACAAAGGATGGAATCAAGTCCTTTGGAACAGTTTCCACATTTAAAACACTCCTTGTGCCATTGCTGTCGAAAAATATAAGGTTATGAAATGAGGAAGGAATTTATTTACTCCTGGAGTGCCATGTGAATGCATTTACGTATAAAGGCAGATGTATATGAAATTATTATTTTTAAGCTATTGTAAAATGAAGAAGGAACATATTAAGGGTTTGTTAAAACGACTGTTTAGCACCGAAATTAGCGTATGAATACACATTAGCAATAGTTACCAAATTGTCTGATATTGAAAACTAAATTATTAAATATATGTATGTGCACATACCAATACAGGACTTTCAAAATGTAAATACCTAAAACATTTTGAATTTACTTTACTATTTAATAAAAATAA